CACATCATCGAGCATAAAAAATAGCATAAATCATATCGCATACATAAACAAACTTTATCATCGTAAGAATTGCGGTGTTTGGCCGAATAGGCTAGAACTCCTAAGGCCAGTAATAAAAAAAAAAAAAAAAAAAAAAAAAGAATTGCGGTGTTACTTTTTATCTCGTTCCGATTTGAATGAGCTTTACAGGACCATCGTGGTAAATTAAAACGATGTCTTATTCAGTAAAATCGTAATTTCCACTAGGTAATCTCAGGAACCGCTACATTGATTTTGATAGAACTTAAGAGCAATATGTTGTCAGGCTGAGTCCAGGAAAGTACTCAAAAACCCGTTTGATATCAATAAAAAAATCAATAAAAAAACCTTCAGCATCATTTACTGTATACGTGGGTACCAGGAAATGACAAAGGACATGAAAAGGCCCACATTTACAGAGGATCTACTCGGATTTATTAGGAAGGCCATAAGGGCAATAGTGGACCTCCAAACAGGACAAGCCAGATGCCGTTTCTGAATTGAGCATGAGGAAACCCCAGTGCATATCCCGTGGCACTGCGAAGGCCTAATAAGGCTACAGTTTCAGATAGTGAGAACCACAAATCTAACAGCGGAAAGCTACACGCAAGGCTATGGGTTATAATCAAAGGATCAGGATCAAGGCTGGTCACAGTGGTCTAGAAAGTGTATATGGGGGTCTCAACCTGTACTGTACATGTTAATGAAGTAAAATTTAAAATTGTTATTAAAAAATTAATTTCCAAAAACCGTAGGTATATACCACTGATTTAAAAATTAGGTGCCAAAACCGGACTCTTAGCAAAAGTGTTAATCATCAGTAAGATTTTATTCTTTAACGATTCAGAATATATTTAAAGCAAATACATAATTTTCAATAGTCATTTCAAAAGCTCTCGATTTCTTTTTATTATTTTTCCCATAATCATAAGGGAATTTTCATAAGAATAGTGGATTGTAGATATATACAACTGGAAGGGGCCGGATTTGCGCGATGAAGATCCTTATTTCTCAGCAAATCGAGATTTCAAGAAAAGCAAAGATTTCGTAACCGGATAAAGTGATAAGAAAAAGTAATCATCCTCTCAATTCTTTCATGAAAGTGGAATATTCACGTACAATTTTAGAGATGTACTATTATTTTGTTAAGAAGCTACTACCGAAGAAAAATGCCCAAAAAATTCATTTTTTGACAAAAAAAAAACTGATTGTTTTCAGTCATCTCTATACACACCATAAAACAATCAGACGAACAGTAGTAAGAAATTGTTGGCGAAGTTAATCCTTCATGACCCGTTCATGGCATTGCGTAGGAAATGCAGAGTCAACCGACTTGACGGCATTTTTTGAAATAACCAACTAATTGCTGCACAAATCGAAGATACGTCTTTTCGTCCCTCACACTTCTCTTCAACGAGTGTCGTCACTTCAATACTTCGTAGTTTTTCAATATACTCACTTTTCCAACTTTATATTCATATTTTCTCAAGAATATAAGTACGTTGAAAAATCCGTTTATAGGTACTTTTTCTACTGAAATCTAGATATCCAGATCATTTGACCTTAGCGGGGTATATCCAACGGGACTACCAGTTGGTCGAACATACAGTTCTTGCTTTTGGCGCTCTAAAACGCGTGCGTTCCCTCATTATTTCTTTCAATAGGGTATCTGCCCCTCTACAAACTGTTTAATCAGACATGAGACGTTGCCACGTTTTCCTGCTTGTACCTAGTTCTCTAACTTGCCCAATAAGCTTATGCTGTTTGCATATAGGACTATATAGCTCATTTTACAGAAATAATCAAGTGTACCTTCATTTTATTGTCCGTCTGAGATAAGGTAATAAATATCAACGCGTCTATTTATTATTCATATTTTCAATAACTTGAAGTATTCGCGTTCTTTCGACCTGTAACAATTTCATTGTCAGGCAAAATAAAATTAATCCATATAGCTACGTCTATGAATATAAAACCTTTTTTAATCACTAAAGTGTTATCATGTGTTCAAATTATAAGGATGGATATATCGATTTCTTGTATCTCGATATCTCATGCTAACAATGTTTGCAAATTGATTGAAACTTTTTTATATCACAAAAGGTTAACCAACAAAATTATTACTGTTTTTTAATTAATTGATTGAAAAGTGAATGGCATCTTGTTATGAAAACCAGCACTGTAATTCTATCCTAAGTAAGTTCGACAATTATGATTGTAAACCGTGTACAAACATGGCAATAGTAAATAAAAAAATGGAATACTTGTAGTGGTACAGCGAAAGTTCAACGATCTTTTCCAGATACAGTAATTAAAATATCGTATGAGTGCTAACCAGACCAAATAAATACGCTATAAAAATATTCAGTACTTCGTGAACAGTTATTGCCAACCCACACTCATTTTCATTGTTTTCATTTTGAGAGAAGATGATGATTCATTATGTTTCTGGTAAGTGTGAATTAAACATTTGAATCTAAAACATCCCTATTTGCAACTTATCCCAAAAAATGGCGTCACGTAGGTTCACTCTGCACTTTCCACAACACTGTCAATCAGTTCATAATGGATCATTTTCGGCACAAGTTACCCCTCTGAAAAAAGTTTATTGCTAAGGAAATAAATGAATCAACTCATTTGAATAGTCCCATAAAATTAAGTTCATACTCCCCATTTTGCAACATTTGATTCCCGATCGGCCCTGACGGCGCTGCACTTTAGGTTGAAATGAAAGGTCAGGATCGCCACAAATTCTGCATCATTGGTTCGTTTGATAACATCGCATCTTGTACATTCCAAGGCAAGGTTTCCACCTCCATGATCATAGTTGAGCGATTTTGGTCAGTACCCATCGTGGCTTTCACCTGCGTACACGCAAGCAGTTACATATTGTATTGAACGTTGTTTGTTCCATTTTCTGACCGCAGCGCTGCGAAACTCAGGATGATTTCAAATCATAGATAATTCTAATATAAATTAAAACCCTAAGTCGCATCAAAATTGAAATAAATAATTCTAATCAAAATATTTTAATTAAATGTTCGAATAGACCTCCTTTTTGGGTTTGGCAGTAACCTAACAGATTACACGACCTTCTGCGTCACCGTTGCTAGGCAATGTGGTAATGTCCTTCGCTCTATATTTGTGGAAACTGATGCATCAAATGTTATCAGCTGAAGAACTCAAACAAAAGGACAAAGGTTTGTAGTGTTAATGGAGTGTGAAATGATAAACATGTCAAGCATAATTGAAAGATGTATTCGCAGGAAAAAAACGGGTAACATGAGATTCTTTTGATCGCACCCGAAAAGTGGACACATCTAGAGGAACTTCTGATGCACAGTATGTTTCATCGGGAGTTCCACAGGGTTCAGTACTGGGACCTCTTTTATTCCTAGTAAACACGTCTGATGTGCGTGAATGTGTAGAACATTTTTACATTCATACATTTGAGGAGACATTTCGTTCGTACATTAATGAATCCAACTTACATGAAGCATCGTATAAAATTAACCTAGATCTTGATAACGTATTAACGTATTGTAAGAGGCACTGTCTCCGTATCCATCCATCAAAATGTACCGCGATATCATACTGTCCTAAATATTGAAATTAAATATCACAAGTCGAGTCTTCTTATTTAGGAACGACATTAATATTTTGATAATGCTAAGAACCTAGGTGTTACATTTGATTCAAATCTTAGATTTCACATATATTTGAAGTCGAATTATATGAAGATAGAGTTCTTATATTCCAAACTTTAAGTGCCGTGAAAGCCTCATATGGTCAAATTTAGCCTATTCTCTAGTCCTCATTTACCCATGCCTAGACTCGGTTTGCAAGTCAAAATTGCAGAAGCTTCGATACAACTGTTGCAGATTCATATGTGGTCTTAGGAGGTATAGTAGCGTTTCTTCCAAAAACCAAGGAGTTACCGCGACTCAGAGTTGTTGTTTCAATTACTGCTGCATGGAATTCTTAAAACTGGTAAACCCGTCTATTTACTCGATAAGTTGATTCCTCATGGAAAACAAATTACTCTAAATTGCGGCACAATGATTCTATGATTCTGTACATCGTACTACAGGTTGTATTGTGGGAAACTCAGTATATATTCTTATGAACCCTGTCATGTATGTATTATATTTCTCAGATGACCTAGCGTTATCAGACATGCATGTGGCTAAGCACGAGCGCTGCCCACACTTCGGGCATTATCACATATTATCATGAGCTTATGTACCACATATTAACGCAATACGAGACAATTGCGCCACAATTTTGTTCCATTACACTGTCTACAAAATCTAGCTCATTTTCCACTAGTATGCCTGTTTTCAACATTATCCAATTCTCAGTCCATTCGACATTATTTGTAAAATAGTATTTCATCTATGTTTTCTGCCGCTAGTTACTTTGCCTAAAAGGTATCTTGTTATAATTTTTTAGACGCGGGAATATGACACAAGGAAGACTACGTTAAACAGTGGTATTTGACATTGTCACATGAAGTTTTGTAGTGTCAGTTTACGTTATAATTTAAGCACTACACTAGGTGTCAAAAAGGGTCTAACATTAATATTTACTTAACTAGGTATGTAGTATTTGTGATTGCCAAAACACTGTATTAGTTTCAATTTATAAGGTAAAACTATGATATATCAATCGGCCCATTCAATATTTGAAATACTATATCAGATAGTATTACATTATTATATTGCTGAATGCGGTATAGTTTATATTTGTATAATCTATAATAGACATGCTTGTTGTTGGATTTTGGGTGTAAAATATTTAGATAACCATTGCGGATAGTTAAAACGTTATAAATTCCAAAATACCTAGTTATTTTCACGGACCAATCAAATCGCATCTTGATGGCCGTAGCAGGTATGAAATGTACTAATTTAACATCTGATTTGGCGGTTTCGTGTAGGTGATTTTCAGCCTGGATTCTTCGGCCTGTTTCCAAGTAACGTTCGCATTCCAAATTCCCTCCCTTTTCTAAGGGTTGTCACACTTGTTCGGCAATATACAGAAAAATAAGCAAGCGGCAACATCGCCATGTCGGCCCTAATAAAGACAATCCGTTGGTACGAAAATTCAGTGAGCCTGCAGACTTGGCGCTGTTAGGACCTAGCGCTATCGGGACGGTCGAGTTTTCTTTCTTTTTATTTATAACATTGTGGTAGTTTACGTAAAAGACTAAACGGAAATATGTGCGATTCTCTCTGTAGTGAGACGTGTAATACCTGCAAATATTCGAGGTAAATATCTAGTATCGCTGAGTGTTTTTGTGTACAGTGTTTAGATTTTCATTTGGGGTTTTACTTCTTTGGATACGAGTGATACGACGGTTACCCTAAGTAACTTAGGGTTGAAAAATTTTAATTTTACTTTATTTATATTGCGTATTACTAGCACTATGCAATCCAAGGTTTGTTATTTTTGTTTTTTATGCTTCTTTCACGAGTAGAAAAATGTCACAAGTACGCTAAGCAGATGCGCTCTTGCTATGAAAGGTGTTATAATTATGAGGCATGACGCAATTTAAATACATTTTATCGTTTTGCATGGACGTATGTCTCTGTGGTGCTAAATATTTGGCGCCAAACTATCTCATTAATATGTCAAACCTGTTGCTTAAGGCAAGTCGTGTAAGATACATGGATGAGAAGATAACATACAGGGTCATCCACTTATTTACTGGCTCCTGCGTAATTGATGAATTGCAATTGTTGGAATTGCGGATTCCTCTGTTTTATACAGTATGTTCTGAACATGTGGAATGATAGGTATATAGACCAAGACCCTTTCAAGTCTAAAAATAAAAAAGTTCTGAATTCATTTTTTACGGATATACAGGGTGATTTGTCTAATCGGGCCAAGTCTTATCACATATCTCATTCACTATTGAACGAACTTTGATGAAATTTGGCACGATAACAAAGTTACCTAGGCGTAACGTAAATTTGGTCGGAATTTTTTTGTATTATATCAGTCACTTTTTAAGCTGAATATTGAGATGACGACGAATGGTGCTTCGCAGTTACCAAAATAGATTAATTGCGCCTCTTTTGGTTTTTTAATGAAACATTTTTATTTATCCAAATATCTTGTTACATTCTATATCAGTTATCATGTCACACAAAACTCAAAATTTCAAACGTGATTTCTGATCAGCATTTTACAAAAGTGCTTAGAATTGGCCTGGAGATGTTTTGAGAACTCAAAATACCACTGCCGGATCAGTTTTTTCATTTCTTTGTATTTTATCAAGTGCAGCTTATACTCTGAATTTATTATTTCAAAGATAAAAAAGGCAAAATTAATGTTACGTTCACGTTTTTTTCGGTATTTTTTTATGATTCAATGAGTAAAAAAATGAATCCGGCCCTGAAGTTTCGAGGTGTCTCAAAACCTCTGTAAATAAATCTAAGGCACTATTTTGTGGAATGTGTTGATAAAATCCGATTTTGCAAATGTTTATTTAAAATCAAAAATCGACTCACTGTTTCATGTCAATGGGCATATGTTATTTGATTTTGTAATTTACCAGAACCGCATTCAGAGTATTTTTTAGACGGTTTTCTTTGACGGAAAAATTGAAAATTTCGTTACCTTTCATTCGTGCATTAGCAGGATAACCTAATTACTTTTTCTTGTAGACAATATTGAGAATATTACGCGTTACAGCGTAATTTTAGTATCCACTGCACTGATTGATGGAATTATTGAAAATTGGTGTTGATAATAAAAAAATTAATAAACCGAGAGTTCCCAAACTCATTTTTGAGCCTGTATTTCTATATTACGCCATAATTTTCAGAGGTACACTTTTTATTGGGCTTCATGATTTTGCTGAATCTATTTTGACTCCTGGGTAGTACCATTACCTAGGTACAATGCAATGGAAATTTGTAGGTCTTAACTCCGTTTTAAATTGTTTTTTGTATATCTAACATATTTCGTATCCATTCGTATATTCAGGTATATGTGAAAATACGTACACATTTTTTTTTACCTAATTTAGTATTTTTTTATGTACAAATGCAAAAAGATAATGGCCGTGTAATTTTGAAGCAGAATCTCTACCAGTATTTCGTATCAAAAATGGAATTAACCGATTAATTGTGTTGAACGCCTAATTTCACGCTTATTTGTGTGTTTATCGAATTTATTCCACTTGTGAATTGGGTGCGCAAATGAAGTCCTTTAAATTCAAAAGAGAATGACGGTTATCTCTTACTTGGTTTGCCGCACTCACTGTTGCCCCATCTGTTGGTGAAAACCTGAAACTCAAGTTATCTAGTCAAGCAGTGTAACACGTACTGCGGATATAACTGAACTTACACTTTGCTATAGCTTTGTAGATATCGGTCTATCTAACGTTTTCTAGTTTTAGAAATAGGAACTCGGAAAATTTATAAATGTTTAATTATTGTTCTTAACGGTTGACTTTGTGAGTAAGCAAAAATTATTCATAATGATTTGAAACCTTGCAAGAGCATACAGGGTGTTTCAGAACTATGGGATCAAACTTCTAGGGGTTATTCAGTATAACAGTAGAAAACATTTTAGTATAGGGACCCATATCCGGAAAAGTGTCACTACCGCCCTAAGACACGTTAAAATTGCATTAAATCCTATTTCTTCTAAATTTTAACGCATCTTAAAGCCGTAGTGACACTTTTCCGGATATGGGTCCCTATACTCAAATGTTTTCTACTGTTACACTGAATAACTCCTACAAGTTTGATCTCATAGTTCTGGATCACCCTGTATAATTTGGAAGACTAAAATAATACAATCGTTTGGTATCATTAGTCTAGACTTTTGTCTTGGTGTGAAAAGAAATACGTAGCTCTCCCGCCATTTTCAGAAGCATGTATTTGACTTGCACATCCACCATTTTTCCATAGATCCTTCACCAAATTTGAAAATACACATGTCGAAGATCGCGTAGCAATTAACCGGTTTTCGGAGGACTTTTGGCGTATTCGGGACGACGAACGAGCATGTTACAGGATGGTTTAGACTGTTTATTCACGATTTTTTACTTCCCACGCCTACTGGCGAGGAAGTATTGTAATCGCGAAAAAATTTGAAAATGAGATATTACCTTTTTTGGCTGTTATATGACATGTATATCATGAAAAGACTTTGCAATTTTTGCATTTTGGGGTGGGTGAGGGTATCGCAGTTTTTTTTTGATGTTAAAATATTAAGACATGAATGCTGCGCCCCACCTTATACATAGATTCCTAAACCCTGCTGGAAAAAGATCAAATTCTTGTCAGTCAACAGTAATTCAGACAAACAGATGCGGTTTCATTCAACGCCACAGACATAGAGGATTATCAGTATGGAAACCACAGGATAAATTTCAGGCGTTATTTTAACTTTACTATTTTGCTTGACCACCACTGGACTGTAATAATAGCATCAATTAAGTTCGTGCATGCATTACGTATATCATTACTTTTTAGTTTTTTGCTATCTCATCTCTGTCGTGTTTTCACCGACAAAACGACCTTATTCTTGCCCTCCAATTCGCTGTGCCACAAAAAGCTGTTCTGGAAATAATATATAAATTATTATAATCATCTGGAATCAGCAACATATATACTCGTATATATATATGCGAAACAAGTATATCCAGCGCGGCATGCAATTTATGAATGATTACGATGATGAATTTTCAAGCCTCATTTTTTATATTTATGCTGTGTGAAAATTTGCACTGTACGTTGTTCAGACCATTCAGTATCTGTGTACAGAAGACAGTAAGAAATAAATCTGGGGAAGAAGGTATAATAGCGTTTTCGCGTGATATAAATCGTATATAGGTCGTTTAAAAATGCGTGGCTTTTTATATAGGGTGATCCAAGAGTAAGGTACTACAAGGGCGCGTTCTGCATTAATTCTGCACATCTATTAGAATATTTCACACCTCATAGGAAAAATATTTTCATCAGGCGGATCGCCTATCGGTCGCACAGGCCGTGCGCCACGGGGCTATTTAGGTATTGCATCTACTGATTTGTACGAGAAGTCAATCTACTTGACGCGATATTTTGTCCAGAATGAAACCTAAAAAGCCCAAAAAAACTTTGTCCATAGTGAAAAAAACAATTTTTGAAATTTGTTAAAAAACTGTTCGTACAATTTTTGATGCAATTTTGGGCCTAACCTCTTGCAGATTCGGTAAAAGGGGTACCTTTTGGAATAAAATTATGCAAAATCTTAAACATATTTTTCCAAGCAGATGCGAAGATATGTTATTTTGATCGGTCTGTTTATCGGAGTATAAAAACATTTTTTCTGGGGTCTTTAGTCTCAATCTTCGGGCGCAATAAATATTGTTTAAAAATGTGGCTTAAGTCTCTTTCTAACATTTTTGTAACTAGTGAAAAATGCGTCAAATAAAGAGTCAACAAATCTAGTGCAATAAAATATCTGCTGCTCTAATAGAATCTTTATCGGTATCCCAAACGTGATACAGAAAAATTGACAGATGTAGAAAAACAAATCAATTGAGTCCAGAATCGCCTATCTTCGCTTTATAGCTGGAAAAGCATATGGAAGATTTCGCATGCTAGATTTACAAATAAATATAAATGCTTTTAGGTAAACTAATCCCAAAATACTCTTCGGGGCCTTGTAGGGAAGGTTTGACGTCCAACCTAAATAAACACTTCAAAATTAACAACAGGGTTTTCAAGCATAGGATGTCAATTTTTGAGAAATGTTACCGAGGATCTTTTTTGTTCCGAATGCCTTGTACGGAGCGAAAAAACATAACCTAATTTGTATTTTGTGTCTTTGTCATCTTATTCAAGAATATTTTTTTGTTCCAGAAGGAAAGCGCGGAAATGCTGCGACGGCGACGACCCCTTTTTGGAAAAAGAAAACTTGCGAACTCTGAGCCCGATGAAGAGCGACGATCTATCGATGTACGACAGTGCAGTTACGTCCACAGGGCCGCACTGCTTCCACGGCAGACTCCCACGGGCTCTCCAGGAACACGATTCGAACTCTCGCGACTCTGGATACGGAATGAGCTATGGCGAGAAGTTCATGTCTTACGCGTCACCAAACAGGACGTCGGCAGCATCGTTCGGATCTCTTTCCTCGATGGAGGACGAATTTATCGACTTTACTGACGTTGAGCCTTTGGACAAGCAAAAACTTCCACATGATTTCAATAAACTTATCACGAATCCTATAATAAACACTCGCGATGAGGGCAAATCATCGCCTAAAGACACGGTCATCAGACCTTTGTTCAGAAGAGCGATGTCGTTGCAAACCGATATGGAGCTCACTCCAAACAGCACGAGAGCCAGGACAAGTCTCTTCAAAGATGAAGAAATGCGATCTTTCAAACGGCCCGAACCACCAAGTTGCATAGAAAACATTACCGGGATCAAACGGTCCAGGATCTTCGATGGCAACGAACAAGAAAACGCAGTGCCACTGATCAAAGTCCCTATCCAGAGAGCTTTGTCCACAGAAGAAACGATAATGTGCGCCGTTCAGAAATCTTCAACTGAACCTGATCTCATCGGCGATTTCAGCAAAAATTTCTGCCTGCCGTTGGTGAGAGGAAAACACCAAGATCTAAAGTCGATCTCATCTCACACGCTAGCAAGACTGATGAATGGAGAATTCAACGATATGATAGCATCGTTCAAAGTGATAGACTGCAGATATCCTTACGAATTTGAAGGGGGACATATCAATGGAGCAGTGAATATCTACACCAAGGAACAATGCATGCAGCTACTACAGGAAACTCAGCTGCCTGCCGCCTCTACCATGCACCAAAGGCATATTCTGGTGTTCCACTGCGAGTTCTCCAGCGAAAGGGGCCCTAATTTGTAAGTGAATAATTTTATTATATATATATTATACCAAAAAGTGACCAAGAGAGCTCAGGTTTGCGAGGCTTCTAGAGGCTATTATTTTTCATACATAAAAGATTAAAATGAAAAAAAAGGACGTATTCACAAATATTCAAGATACAAACCAGTCAGTTAAATATCGGCCCTTACCATATACAACAAAAATGACCACTAGTATTAATTGATTTTTATTTTGTTCCAGGTACCGCTATCTACGTAGAGAGGACCGTCAGAAAAACGAAAGCGCTTACCCCGCCCTGCATTACCCTGAAATCTACCTCCTAGAGGGCGGTTACAAAAGTTTCTTCGAGCAATATTCGACCATGTGCATACCGACTGCGTACAAGGCTATGCTCCATCCAGACCACGAGGAGGACCTCAAGCATTTCAGGCAAAAATCCAGGACGTGGAACTGCGACACGCGGCAACGGCCGCAATCCCAACCAAATAAGTTCTTCAAGCGTCTCGGTATTTGAGCGTACGTAGCTTAGATACGTTTCAGCTTGGGTCTGCAGCTTGATATTTAGAATCTTATAAGCCAGGGGGACTGTTTCCTACAATTTTGGCGACGCTGTTTCTTTTTTTTTTTTAAGGTCTTGTTGGATCATTGATTCCTAATTCCCTTTTTTTTATAAACAATTTTTTAGAGAATCAAATTCTTTATTATTTTGCTTCTATAAATATTTGTCATAGAGTCGACATGTTTCGTTAAATTTAAGGGTAATGATCATTTTCGCTTATAATGGCTGAGCGTATCACTAACCTCTTTTGTAGAGAATAAAACCTTCTACAAGAAAGGTGCTTTACGTTTTTCTCGACACTTTGATGGTTCTTTGAGCATACTAAGCGAAAGTTAAAAATTCGTATGGAAACACCTGGGGATAACTCCATAGGTCATTATCTAGAACCAAGTGAATCAGCGATTATAAGCAAAATATCATTACACGTACCTTTATCCTTTAGTTTCTCGTTTTTTTTATAGAACCAAATAATAAAGAATATGATCATTTATAATTTATAATTACTTTTTTTACACAGGATCAATGCTCCAGGCCTATCATGACGCCATTTTAAACTTATTTTAACTTAACTGTCGCCAAAGTTGTAGGAATTCCTTATACAAAAACTCTTATTTTTTTTTCGCCTATTATCGAAGCACGCTTTTAAGTTTTACTCTTTTCTCGCTGTAAATACGAGGATAATCCCAAGGTCTCGTGGTTTTTCAAGTACATCAAGCATTTTTCCAACAATTGATACATCGTTATGAAGCTTGAATATTGATGCATAATCATAATCGACATTCTCCTAGATTTATTTTTGTTGAAGCCGTAGCAATTTTTCCCAAGTGAAGAAGCACTAAACTGCATCTATCACTTACCCAAAATATCCGATTAAAAAAAATTCTAACGTATTTGGATCATCAACCATAGCATAGGTTTTGTTTTTCCAACCAGTAATTACCTATTTTCTAAATTTAAATAACGCTTATCAAGGAGATTCAGTCTTGCCGAGGAAGTGAATGCATCCTTAAGAACCCGACGGCTTCATTTATTAGAAATAAATATTTTTGCATGTCTTGAAAAATACGTGACCTTATTTTTACCCTTTTTAACCAGTTCGACATCATGGGAGATACGATTTTTATTAATTGAATATTTTACTATAAAATCAAAAGTTAACTACCATATTGTGTACGTGTACTGGCCTAATTTAAAAAAATGTTGCAAAAATGCGAAGCTTATTTCCGGCAACTTACCGTTCGTCATTAATCATGGAAGATGACTCGTGTGACACTTTTTACAACTTCATGATGATTATGAATTTTCTATACATATTTAGTTTATTATGCCGTCTGTATTTTCATGCCCTCTTTTCACTTATATTATGGAAATATAGATGATGCAAGGCCAAGCTGAGCATATAATTTATAGTACAAAGGAGTGACGATTTTTTGCACCATATTGGCGCTGAACAGTCATTTTACAATGTAAATATTACCTGTACAGTCGAAATGGCAAAATATAATTTCACAAAATTATTCGAAATGTGCAAATTTGTCTTACAGCTGCATACGGGAGAAGTCAGAATTGGAAGATTGATTAAAAAAGACATAATTATTTAGCCTCAACATTACAGAAATGTTTCTATAGAATCCTATGCAGAGATTTTTTGAATATTTTGCAAAAATAATGTCGTCAAATATATCAGGCACCTCTTTCTAAATTATCTCCTATCATCCACAAGATTTATTTTTGATCGTATATAAATAATATTTGACTTGTGTTGAAATCAGTCCTACAAAAAAGTGCCGCTAAATTTTGAGTAGCCTTGTATATGGAAAGTGGAATTTATTTTGCCATAGGATTTATATGTCGCTTATCTGCTCATTCATACAATGATAGGGCAAACATTATAGAATGCTAAGTCACCAAAGTTATTTTAACCAATCCTGACTATAACTGAGACTAAGTTCTCACTCCAATAATTTCAGTTTATATAACATACTTCTTTAAATGTGCAATTTTTTACGCAATAAAAATGTGATGCTGCATTCTACTTTGGTTCATACACTTTTTCTAATGTGCCAATGTAGACGTAGATGCAAATATATTTATTTGAGTTTTAAGCTTACATGATGTGTCTTAATTTTTTAGTTTTAAATAGATTATTATAGATGTGTTCTTTGGACGGAACTTTTAACTGCGTCTTCAGGAATATTTAAAAACTACCAATAACCAGTTCCAAATATCTGCTTTATCACATTTTTGAAAAAAGTATAAAGCGTTTCTACAAATTCACCTGAAGATGCAATTGAATTTCACATCCAAATCCCTTATATTTTATCCCAAGGCATAAATATCTTAAATGTGATTTTTGTCGTTTTTTGACAGACTGAGAAATGCATTTTAATTTTTAATATTATCCAGTGGTGATATTCACTCTTTTTTTTTGTACATAAAATCATGTCTAAATTATAATCATTTTTATAACTTATGTGTGTTCTTATTACGCGTCTGGCGATATGGAAAAGAGGCAATGTTGCCAAATCGACGGTAACTACGGAATAATTATATGGGCCTGTTTGACTGACTTGATCCGTTTAATTTCTCTACTGTACATATTCGTAACTAATTTTTTCTCGTTGGGCTGAACTTGATCCGTTATGAACTGATGACGGCGTTGCGTAGGAAGTACAGAATCAACCTACTTGACGCCATTTTTAAATTATTTTGATCCAATATTCACTATATAGACTATATAGACAAAACCTATAAGTTTGATTTTAAATTTCATTTTTTATAATCGGACACTTCAATACTTTCCATATAAATGCTCTATTAAATAATGACGTCAAGTAGGTTGACTCTGCACTTCCCATGCAACTCATCAGTTCAGATTAGCACAAGTTAGACCCTATGAGAAAAAAAAATGGCTAACATGTAAAAGAGACAAAATAAACGGACCAAGTCAGTCAAACAGATCCTTACATTATGGCAACGCATTTTCAAAGATCAAGAAAATTTCCGTGAGGGGGGTTAAAAATCCCCCATTTTTTGATGAAAAGATTATTTTAATATATTCTAATATTACGTATTAGATTTGGCTTTGTTGAAAAACAAAGCGTCCTCCACCTTGCTTGCATTGGGGATTCACTGAACGGATTTCAGCAGCTCAAGGTAGTCATTCAAAATGGTGGACCTTGTGGTAGCTACCGATATGCAGCGCCATCTATTGGATAGTAGCCGCCACAAAAAAAAAATTCGTTTAGTTGGGCTACCATCCGATAGATGGCGCTTCTGTGTAAAGTGCTGTCACACACCTCATAAAATTTAACTAGTCAAATAGATCCTTTAGGGGCGGTTGGTCGGGGTTCGGGATGGGTTTATGGCAACGAATCTTCAATGATCAAGGATCTTAAATTTCCGTGAGGGGGGTTAAAATCCCCCATTTTTGATTGGATTAGTTCATTATATTCTAATATTACGTATTGGATTTGGCTTTGTTGAAAAACAAAGCGTCCTCCTCCTTGCTTGCATTGGGGATTACTGAATGGATTTCGGCAGCTCAAGGTAGTCATTCAAAATGGTGGACCTTGTGGTAGCTATCGATATGCAGCGCCATCTATTGGAGAGTAGCCGAACTAAAAATATATTTTTCCGTATACATTTCTTAAATGATTTTAAGCTAATTTTGTGCATTTTCGAAAATAGAATAAATGGAGGTTCTTTATAACGTGTTATCACATTCATGATTGTTCTGAATATCCGGCTATAGGTGAATGAAATAAAAGTCTAATTTATAAAAACGCATTTATTGAAAATATCAAGTCGAACATTAACCTAGACATACATCCCATGTTTCGAAACAAATAAATCCAAAATTACAGAACGAAGCAGTCAAATGCACCGAATGATTAAATTTAACCAATAAACTTACATACACATATCAAACACAGTATATATAAGTTACAAAAGAAACTCTCGAAATCAAACATACAAAACTGATCAGACTATCTGGGTTGCACCACACAGCTAAACCTGAAATTAAAAAAGCAAATAGTTAGCCTTAAGGTACAAGCAATTTGTGTCGCAACATGTTGCATTTGATGCAACTTGCATCGCGGGCATTCCAATCCTCGATACTTTTGTACGAACAATATGTTTTAGATATAGAAGTGAATATGGAGGAAGCATGTTGCGGCACATGTGATCAACCAGATGCGTTTTCATTTAAACAAAATGCAGGCTGTTGCGCAACATGTTTTTTATACAGAAACCAAAATACAAGGCAACGTGGCAGGAGCTAAAAGAAACTTTGTTAATCCGAACTGCATAAGATTAGTAGAACTTGAAAAAGCCTCATCAGGCAACTCGATACAAATGAGCCCGTTGCCCATGTGAAAGAGTTCCGACACTGTCCGTTATAGACATGAGAATGAGGAGGTTATGTGGTGAAAAGTACTTCATATCCATAAGCAAATAGCCTAGCTTTTTCCCAGCAGCTGCCGCTATTCGTGCCTGATCAAGTCCTTGGCGACTGGACTCCGACCAGCTCAAATGAACGGCTCTTTGGTGTAAGTAAGTGATTCGGTCATTCCAAATCCTCGGCGTTCTGTACGGAAGCATTCCGCTGCTTTGGGAATCCCTAGGTCAACACTTCATGGCATAACGAAGAAAAAAATGGGTTTTAAAGGAAAATGATTACGTATTACGGAAATCTTGTGCTACGTTGAATCTTTGTCCTACGCACCGCAGACTCGAGAACGTCGTTTTCAGTGACGATGCCCATTGTCACTTAGTCGGTTATGTGAACAAGCAAACTTGCAGATATTGGGCACCAACGAACCCAAAAGAGAAATATCGACAACAACTACATAGTCCAAAGGTAACTGTTTGGTGCGCCATATCGTCTAGCGGTATTTCTTTGAAGATGAAAACGATCATGCATTGAGTCAATTGCGAGCGATACAAGGACATGATTGACACTGCTTCTATTGCATGAACAGAACGTCGACGGGCTGGACATGAGCAAATTTTTAAGTTCCTGGGAAAGCGCCGGATTCCTAAGATATCTAGCGCATGAGCCTGCAACTTGTCATATTGGAAATGTACTTTAGTAACTAACGAAACACTCTCAATGGCTAATTTTCAGAAAACTTCACTTCCCTGCGAAAATCCTATGTGCGCATATTGTATTTAGGTAAATGAAAACTCACCCAACTGGGTTTGCTGCACTGGTACATTTGGCATAAATAATGGCCTACAGTTCATCTTTTTCGTCCAAATCAACATCAGACAGATCAATGTCATCGATGACTGGTTCTTCAGCATCCATGCCATCCCAAGGAGTACAGGTGTTGAATGATGGCCATTTGCCTTGCTTCACAGGTGCTGTATTGCCCTTGCCGAAAGACAAGTCTCTGCAAAAGAATATACAAGGTCATTCACAAGTCGTGACCAAAAATGATACGCAGGACCGCATTTTAAGGGGGGTCCTCTATTCAAAATTTTTTCATCGAGTGTTGAAGTTTAAAAATAAAAAAAAAAATTTTTTTTAATATACTCAAAACCGTCAACTGGAATGAACTTAAATTTGGTATGTATTAGCTATTTTTTTTTATTTTTTACAAAAACAATGCACTCTAGGACAAAGCACAAGAGTACGTAATTATTTTGTAGCAAATAGAAGGTAAAATTTGAAAAAATGCGCTTTTGGAATTTTTTTCTTCCTCCATACATTATGGCACATCCTGTATGGTCTTACCAGTAACCTGTAGTCTTACAGAAAACTGGACAATGCAACCGGGAGTTCCAGGATTGCGAAACTTTAGGAAAAGTTTATTCTTCATTAGTCAGAAAAATGACAAAAGAAATTCTGAACCAAATTTTCTGAAAATCATGGATTCAGGGATCGGATTTCCCAGGATTATTCCCTAGCCGTAACATAAAGTATAATCAAATAGATAAGACAAAATGGATGATTTTTAAAGTATTACCTGAGAAACTCGTATATTCCGTCTTTAGAGAAAGCACCCCTAAGAATGGAGTACTTCATCTTCTTTGGATTTACCACAGCCATTGCTGGATAACCGAACCCGCCAATATCCAAGGCGCTTTCCAGATCTGACTGACAGCCAGCCTCTAGCCAAACCCACCTGGAAGCCAAGTAAACTAACTTAGTAGATTCGTCGTACTGTTTTATTTCATAACGAGGTAGAAAATGGAACAAAGTTCAAATTACGCCAATTAAACTATATTATTGCCAAAATTATACGAAAGAAGTGACTATATGAAAAAATACGATAAAAATGTCAGAATGTGTTATGCTATTATTTCCCAAAATGAGTATTTAGTAAAAAATGACGTCTAGTCGGTCTACTTAAAAAATAAATGGGTTTTAATGAAACTCTGTAATACTATTGTTCATGAACCATAAAACAAAGATGCCTTTGCAGTTTGAAAATAATATCAGCGAAAACGAAACATTTGTTTACTTACTTCAGTCTAAAGTGTCTCTCATTAATTACAACTATATATTAGCCAACCAAACATTTTAAAGATCCTTACGAATTCCTTTTTAATCCAGACTTACCCCCACATCTTCTTCTTGAACTTTTCTCCCATAGTCTTAAGCAACTCGAGGTAATCATTTCTACATTTCGACTGGCAGTCTAAGAGGTGTGGAAGCACCGATATAACGCACAGAGGCTTATTCTCGCATGCGTTCAAGAACGACTTTTCATCCACCACTTCGACGACCTCTGGAGGTGGGACATTTTCGGCCAATTTGTCCAAAGCCCAGTTTACAATGTCACTAGCAGTACGACCTCCGTCATAGTTCTCCGGTGTGTCTTTAGCGTTTCGCGCGAAGAGTTTTATTGTCGGGAATCCCTGCGAATTTGAAAAACGGAGTCAAGTGTTCAGTTCTTATACAGAAGCAATCGCGTAGGCAAAAAAATAAATACCGGAATGAGCTTTGAAATTTCGCGATCACAAAACATAATAATTTGTAAACATTCTCACCTGGATTCCATACTTCTGGGACATAACTTGATGTACAGTAGCGTCCAACGCGCCAAGTTTGACTTTGCCCTTAAGTTCTGTAGCGGCCTTAGCCCAATGAGGTGCAAGGTTCTTGCAATGTCCACACCATGGAGCATAGAATTCTACTAGCCACATGTCATCAGAATCTATGACTAATCTGTTGAAGTTGCTGTCAGTCAGTTCAACCACATATTTGTCATCAACAGTCTAGAAAGAATATGAAAAAACGTGCTTGAGATAACAGACTACTAGATGTTCAAATAATGCAGCCGCCACATTTGGACATCAGACCTTTACAACGTTCCATTGTGACTATTTAACCCGGACGCCGAACGCGTCGATCAACACTCGCCACACTTCCTCGCGTATACGGTTGCCGCGTAATTCAAATTTGAAATGTGAGTTTTTCCATTGGACGTGAAAAATTAGCAAAATTGGGTTTGAGCTATTCCTTGCCTGATCATCTATATAAGTTTTTATTTATTTATCAACGAGCGACTGCCCAATTAAAGTACAGCCTAAAAAATCTCATGTAAACACTACTTTGGCTTAGATATTAAACAATTACAAACGCTTTACAATCCAGATCATTTCTAAATAGAAAGGAATTTAATTAAAATTTAAATATATACATGGGGAAATCAAATATTAAATATTACAAACAGGAATCTAATTGAATTTAGAATGTTTTCTGACTGAAGAAATCCAACTTATTAGAATACTGATTTGCTAACATTGAAGATCTAGACAGGAAGGAATTACTAACATAATTAGTATGAAATGGGCTTGGAATTGTCCAAAGAATCCTCCAATGTATTGAGTATATGAATCTGGGAGATGGAACACCCTGTTTACTTACATCAGAAGACCCTCCTGAAGAACGCCCACCATCCAACATATTCTTGACCTTAAGTCTGGCTGCTTTCAAGCCAGCTTCTGCTATGTCTCTGGCAGTTCTCCCTCCATTGTAATCCTCAGGCTTGCTTTTGTTAGCACCAAATATCTTGATTGTTGGAAATCCACGCACATCATAACGTGAACCCAGGTCTTTGTATGTGTCTACATTTACTGCACCTACTTTCACTACACCCTGTAAAATGAAATTATCTTTAATCTCTTATTTAGTTTAGGGTTGCATTCACAGAATGTTTTTGCTGGCAATAGCCCTCTCCTTCAGGAAGACGAAAATTAGGTTTTGCTTTGCCTTTCTAAAGAAGAGAAAAAAACTGGAAGAAATATAGAAGGCAGGATGACTGAAAAAGGCAGTAGAAGGACAAATAGAAGCAACTGAGATTACAACCCTTGCAAACCCCAATCCTCAACTACTCCTAGGAAATTCTCAACATGTACAGGAGCTTCTAAATAGAAATTTTATTATTTGTTCTTGGTTCCACTGCCACTGAATCAATTTTCATAACCCATCCTCTACATACTAAACCTTGGTGTTTTTGGTTAAAATCTCATCAAAATCCAAGTGGAACTTTCACAATTATAGCATTGATTAACATATTCCTCTTGAAGACAACCCTCAATATACTGTACTTCAGATATTAGTATCATCTATGAGACAGTGGCACACACACAATTGAATTTATAAATTTTCCTTAAAAAGAGTTTAGTGTTTGGTTCTCCTACTGTCTCACACAGCACATGATTTTCAATCTTATTTTGGTGCCTTTCTAATGCCTAATTTAACTGGATATCTTCAGACAATGATTAACATAATATTACACCTATCCAGGGTCAAGTGAATAGACAGAAATAATGTTTTTTTATGATGCACATGTCATGTTCAAAAACTATATCTCATTGTCAATGTCAGCAATTAGTGAACTTGTTTACGAAGGCTGGAGAAAGAATAGTGCAAAAACTGCTGATGTAGCATTTTGTACAGACAAGAGCTAATGAAATGGGCTGTTGAACAGACATTACATATATCTTCTGCCTTACCCTAAGAGCATTTGCAGCAGCAGTGTATTCTGGAACAAGATTCTGGCAGTGGCCACACCACGGTGCAAAGAACTCTACCACCCACACCTCATCACTTTTCAGCACCAGTTTGTCAAAGTTGCTAGGCGTTAATTCTACCACATTTCCGTTGCTCTGGTATAACCCCACGCACCCTTCTATGAAAAGAACTAGAACTACAGAGAAAAATATCAATTTTTCACTTAACACATTTTAACCTGAAACTTGATAAATATTATTAAATGTACACTCACAAATAAAGCGTAGCATTGTGATGTATTCTTCCTATATCTATTGAGCAGTTTTATTCAATGTTTTCTCTAAGAAACATTTAATTCATATATTACACGCCGGCAAATGCTTATTCCTTATTTTTTTGACATCCACAAAACAAATTCGTAATCATAAATTCGTGGTCCACTCTGATTGGTGGATTTCTAGACCCACTGACGTTGACAGTCACAGGAAGCTGATCTCAAAACGTCAACGTGGAAAAGGAGGCGTGGCATCCAAATTGACCCAAGATTATTCATCCTGGATTCTTCTTCGCCACGCCCCTTTTCCAAGTTAAAGTCAGCAGAAAGAAGTTTCCTGCACACATTTTACGCATAAGTGAGTACAATCTATCGAGGTCAGATAGCGCTCGTGTCAATTTCGATTAATAATTCAGTTTTTTTGACTTTAAATTATAATATAGACCTCAGATCACACTGACATGGAAATTATGATAAAACTCATCATTCAGGACAGACATTAAAATTATTTGAAATTTTATGTTAATCATACTCTTATACTTGACAATTACAATTATAATCGGTAGATGTCGCAAGTATTAACGATTCAGGATTTGATTATGCCTATTGATTTAAATGCTTGGGAAAATTGATCTGTTGTTGGTTGGATTCGACAAGAAAACATTCAATTCATATATTTACACGTCGGCAAATGCTTATTCCTTATTTTCCCGACATCCACAAAACAAATTCGTATTCATAAAATCGTGGTCCTCTCTGATTGGTGGATTTCTAACATTGACATTTACAGAGAGCCCTGATCTCAACACGTCAACATGGAAAAAGAGGCGTGGTTTACAGGTGCTCATTCAGAACAGCGAATCTAATACATTTATTCATTGGAATAACTCTGGTGTAATGAAAATGGATCCAAATCAATAATCGCGATTTTTCCTCTTACTAAGATCCGAATTAATGCAAGATTATTAATCCTAAATTTTTGTTCGCCACGCCTCTTTTCCAACTAGGGGAAAGAAGTTTCCTGCATACATTCTACGCATGTAAGTACATTCTATTGAGGTCAGATGGAGCTAGTGTCAATTCGGCTAATAAAAAACAAATTCTTTGGCCGTTGGGACATAGTATAGACAGCAGATCACACTGACGGAAATTATGATAAAACCATCATTCGGAACACACATTATAACAATTTGAAATTTTGTGTTAATAATTGGAAATGATCAAATCTATAATGTGATTGTTACTGCGCACGCATTTATTATAATTTTTTTCATGGTTATACCTATTATAATTGTTGGATTCGGAAATTGATTAGTACCATTAATACTGGGAGCGCCTGATATAGCTTTCCCTCGAATAAATAATATAAGATTTTGACTTTTACCTCCATCATTAAGATTCCTCATATTAACACAACTTATACTTGAAAATAACAATTATACTCGGTAGATGTCGCAATTCAGGATTTGACGATGTCTATTGACTTAATTACTTGTCAGGTGAATTGATCTGTTGTTGGTCGAATTCAACAAGAAAACATTTAATACATATATTATACGCCGGCAAACGTTTATTCCTTATTTTCTCGACATCCACAAAATAAAATCCTAATTATAAATTCGTGGTCTTCTCTCATTGGTGGGTTTCTAGAAGCTCTGACGATGACATTCACAGAAAACGCTGATTTCAAAACGTCAACATCGAAAAGAAGGCGTGGTTTAAAGTTTTCATTTCGAACAGTGAATCCAATACATATATTTATTGGAATATCATTGGTGTGACAAAAATGGATCCAAATCAATAATCGCAATTTTTCTTGTTGCTAAGATCCGAATTAACGCAAGATTATTCATCCTAGGTTCTTCTTCGCCACGCCCTTTTTCCAGGCTGATGTCAGCGGAAAGAAGTGTCCTGTACACATTCACAGGGAGCGTTGATTTCAAAACGTCAACATGGAAAAAGAGGCGTGGTTTAAAGACTTCATTCAGAACAGTGAATTTAATACATATAATCATTGAAACAGCACTGGTGTCACGTGAATCCAAATATATAATGCCAATTTTTCTTGTTACCAAGATCCGAATTAAGGAAAAATTGTTTCTTCTTCGCCACGCCCTTTTTCCAGGTTGAAGTTAGCGGAAAGAAATCTACATATATTCTAGGCATGTGAGTATAATCTATTGAGGTTAGATGACGCTGGTGTCAATTTCGACTGACTATTTTTTTGAGGTTGGGATATTATATAATCAGCAGATCAATCACTCCGACATGGAAATTATGATAAAACCATCATTCAGGACACCCACTAAAACAATTTTAAATTTTGTGTTAATATTTTATTATACACTTATACTTGAGAATTACAAATTATACTCGGTAGATGTCGCAATTCAGGATTTGAAAATGTCTATTGATTTAATTATTTGTCGGGAAAATTGATCACTTGTTGGTTGTATTCAACAAGAAATAGCTACTCAATCAAAAATTAATTCATGCCATCTACAAAAAAATCGTGCGAAAGAAGCAATGGCTCAAGAAATAAACATATGGGTGATAATGGTGTCAAATTACACTTAAGCAAAGGCGTGCTACTGGGGTTTTATTAAGGTTATCATTACGTATAACTATAAATGGTGTACGGCGTGGACCTATTCCAAATACCAAAATAAAACGAAATTTTCAGAAAGACTGAGGAACTCCCATGCACTTCAATTTTCTCCAAGATTCACGGATGTCGCCCTGTCCTTGGTCAGCTTCAGCTACAGACCCCTACATAACTTGAGATGGCTGTGGCGTAGACATAGAGATACCTAAATTCCAACCAATGTTGCAGTGTTCTAAACGAAGAAGTACTCAAAACGCAGAAAAACAAAGACTGATAGTACATATACAGAGTTCATCCATCCCTTTATGTTTGTTATATATATATATATATATATATATATATATATATATATATATATAAAGAGAAAATGATCATGCGGAGAAAGGTATATAACAAAAAGTAGGAAAATAATGGGAAAAATCCGCAAAAAGGAGGAAAGTGGATTCGAGCAGAAAATAGGATAGGTAACCCGAGCGATACGTATTTCTGCTGGTTGGCTTCATCAGGCCCGAAATGAATGCACATATGAAACTACAAAAGTATATACACATGCCAACGCATCCGGATATGGATCTTTGTAGAAGTACCACAGCAAGTGGCTATAACCGGCCGCGTGGTTGTGGTTACATGTCTCCTTGCCATTTTAAACTACAATGTATAGGTTGGCTCTTGTTGTGGACTTCGTCTGGCATTTTATTATATATATATATATATATATATATATATATATATATATATATATATATATATATATTTTGAGAGTTATTATTTCAATGACGGTTTACCTCTACTGTGTTTCTAATACAAATAACAATAAAAATAAAATCGTCAATATGCGTTTTAGCATTTTGATGTCAGACTTAAATTAGCGTCTTTTTTGAATATTGTCGTGGATAGGACTCTACACTTTGATTGTCATGTTTATTTAATATGACCGCTTAAAAAAATCCGCTTTTTTTGTATGAGCCTTTGATAGTTGGTCGAACCTGAGGTGTGATTTGAACATATGGCAACAGCGGCAAGTCATTGGTTTGCTAATGATCTGTGTAGTTCTTAGATCTTGTGTTCGTGATTTGTAAAAATACTTTTTAACCTAAAGGTCGTGGGCGTACTCTTCCGTATACTTATTTTGCCCAAAATATATATTTGTGAGTTGTACGTAGTTTCAGGTGTAAAAAGGTGATAAAGGATATACCTGCCCCACTATGCGACCAGGTAGGAATATTTAAAATGCTTTACTTGAGTCACAATTAGACTGTAAACATAGTAACTGCAACGTAAGCATAATCAACATCACTCATCTATAATTATAAACAACAGTAGAGTTTGTTGTTTTTATATTAAATAATAAGTTATATGCTGCATAAAAGCAGCCTGAACTCCAACCTTCGCTTGCTCAAGGATTCTAGATGTTTGCAAAATGTGTAAAACCTCAAAATCGACTCACAACTTCCAGGTGAACATCGAATCTATAGGAGGCAAAGACGCAAAAAGCTTTGGAAACAGCCATGGGCACCGATGATGGGAATTTTTTTTTTGGTTGGTCATAGAAGCAACTTTTGCCTTGAACACCTTAACTCCATGAAAGCAATGCTAGGTATGTAAATTGATTTTATAATTATCAACATGTCTTTTGAAAAATTAGTTATATAACATGTCCAACCATATTTATATTTGTTTGATTTTGTTCGAATTGTTTCCAGATACCCTATTATCAGGAACACATACCAATAAGTATAATGTGGAAAATGCTATCGCTGAAGGGTTCCAACTGAGTAACCAGAGAATAAAGATAAATCAGGAAGCTTGGTTAAGTTATATAAATAACGATACTGTTTTCCATATTTATAGATATATTGAAATATATAATTATGTATTCAGAAATTTTTTAATTGACTAGTGCCAAAACATGAATTTTCTAAATTCCACATTCCATCATTTAACATAATTTATATCATTTTGTTTGGACCTACAGTGCAATGTATTTTCACGCATCTTAGTCACTAATGTGAATCTTGGTGACTACCTTTATTATACACAAATTAATACATGACATGCAGCATTTATGCTATCACAAAAGTAATCTTTATTTGCGGAAATTTATGACACAGTTTGTATACAAGTATTTACGTAAATTGCTGTTAATATAGTTCCCGATACTTAACCTGTGATTGTCTGCTGGTTCTATTCTATTCAAGTCGTCGATAAATGATACCACAGAATTGATGGAAAAAAATTAACCATTAGTCTTTTTTTAAATCTGCATTTATAAAATAAAAAAAATCAAGAAGAAATTCCCCTATAGTTATATTCTAATTTTTTATTTCATTTTGTACTTTGAAGAAGACTACCGAGGTTCGTGAGCATTTCTTTCAATTCTGTGTCCAGTTGAATGGTTGTAACAATCAAGTAACTTCTTGAATATCAATGTTACATAATTTCTGAACATATATATATATATATATATATAACTGCAGTTACATAAATACTACATGCATAGAGATGTAAACTGTGCTGGGCATTCCCACTACCTTTCAAGTTCATCCTTACCTTGTTTAAATTTAGTGATTACTCCATTTTTACATAACTAGTAACAGATATAAAATTTGGGTAAAATTTATATATCTGTGTTTAGTAGGCTGAGACCAAGTTTACACCATGCTGAGGAGTTGTCAAACAGCATGAAACAGCTGTTCCATGGTTGGAAGTCTGTAGTTCAACAAAAGAAAGCTATATTACTAATTCAGCCGTAAGTATTGGAGATATGACTCAACGGGTTATGAGACCGTTTTTCTTAGTATCAGCATTATTATTTTTATTTGGCCGTGTCTGCTTATGTAAGCCGATGAATTGATTTTCAAGAAATTCAATTATCTTCAAGTAAAAAAATAATTAAGAAGTCTGCGAATATGTAATATGAAATAACCGTTTGGTAAACAAAATTCAGATGCGTTTTTCTCAGTCTCAGATTAACTGCAGATAGCACGAGCGGCAGCATATGAGGAAAACTAACGTTCCAAGTTTATTATACCTGGAATATGGTTATGTTAAGTGTTAAGAGACTTTATAAACCCGATATGTGATGGGGTTCTTTTTAATTACTAAAACAACCAATTTCTAATGTCTGATATTTCACGTTTTTTGTCGTCTGATTATTTGATGGTGTATAGAGATGACTAAAAAACAATACACTCAATTGTTTGCCAAAAAAAAAAAAATTAATTTTTTGTGCATTTTTTCTTCAATCGCAACTTGATAACAAATAATACAACAGTTCTGAAATTGTATGTGAATATTTCACTTTTATAGTTGAATTGAGCGGCAACTACATTTTTGTATTTTTTTTACAAAAAATCTTTGCTTTACATGAGAACTGATATTTGAAGCAAACTGAATTTTCAAAAAAGGAAAAAAAATTAAGCAAAAGGTATAAGAAAAGAATAAATCATCCGCTCAAAAAAGAAATTGATAACATTGTATTTCAGTCATCTCTATACATCCCATCAAACAATCAGGTTAAGAGTACTAAGAAAAAAAAGTACAAAGAATAATTCTCTAGACATGTATGTGTGAAGCTAAGCATCTGGCCAATCCAGTAAATGTTTTGTATTAAATGTAACGGCTGAATATTCATTCAGGAAGTTAGTTGAACAGCCCCGTTTAGGGCCGTATCGCCAGTCATTCCTACAATTTATGGCCTTGATTTTCATAGTTTTCTACCGTTCCGTGTCAGCGCTCTATTTTGAGGTTATGCTACAAATAACCATTTGAATCAAATTGTTCATGCTTTTGATTTATATACATTTCTTATTATTCAAAAAGAAAACATAGCTTCACAGGAGAGGGCTGGGGCTGACCAGAAACAGTATAAATCTAGAAATAGCACATTCTTTCTGAAGGAGAGAAACTACTATGAAAATCAAAGCGTCCTACAGTTTTTGTAGGAACAACCCTTAGGCCCGTATCGTCAGTCGTCCCTACAATTGTAGGGCGCCTTGATTGTCATGGTTTTCTACTTCTCTGTGTCAGCGCTCTATTTTGAGGTTATGTCACAAACATCTATTTGCATCAAATTGTGCTTGCTTTTGAGTTATATCATGTTTTATCAGCCTGAAATTTCCTACAATTTAAAAAGAAAACATATCTTCACAATAGGAGAGCGCTGACGCTGACACGGGACAAGTGTAATCTAGAAATTTTTGAAGGAGAGAAAGGAATATGACAATCAAGGAGGCCATAAACGCGCCCTACAATTGTAGGGACGACTGACGATACGGGCCTAAGTAAATAGGTTAGCCTGTTAATTGAACGGCCAATTAGGCGAGCTGTCTGAGATATTTATGTTGTTTGACATTAGGGTTGCAGCATAGGCAAATTTCGAATGACATTTATTTGCCTAGTATGGTTCGTACCCTCCCTGTGTGCAATGCTTGTACGACATTGGTTATTTTAGTATCGCTTCGAGATCAAGCATACTTGTAAAGCGGGTTGTAGAAGTTGCAGCGTAAGCACACTGAGAGTACCACTTGTTGATTTAATCAAATGGCAGGCTTATCAGCAGCAACCTCTCTAGTTCACGGACAACAAAAGGAAAAACTAGTACCGTAGTGGTATATTGAAAAGGCTCCAACTGTCCAGTAAACAAACAACTAATTTGTATTGGCTGGCAACTCGCATCAAGGTCTCAAATTCGCCCGGAGCTTGTTAAGTGTGATGTCATTATGACATCACCGGGAAGCATTTGTAGCGGTCGGAGACGAAAATCGGCGAAAACATATGGACTAGTACGATGGTCCTGAGTACCAATTCGCCCGAAGGTTACAGCGAGTACCGCCGATCTGATGCAACGGTTGACAGTGAAGAAGATAGTGTCACGGTAACGGTGAGTGAATCGCGATAGGGATTATTGTTGATGATCGGCGTGTATTCATCTGGAAATTTGGTATATTCGCAAAGCTCAATCGTCAGTCTGGAGACCGCTGTTCGGTTGTCTAGATTCTAGAATCAATAGCGGTTGACGTCACATCGTTCAGTGGTTGTCGTTCCAACGCGATCTTGCTATCAGCGAAGCGAGGGGGGGACGGACGAAACAGTGCACTTGTAACTTGGCTAGTAGTGTCATGTATCGTGCAAGTGTCTCCTTCAAACTTTCTTATGTTTTGTGATTGATGTGGTGCATCGCAAATTTTGGCGTAAGTTCAAATTTACACTAATCACTAGTCGCTTAATGCCGTAATTACATCGATACGCTTCTGCGTGCCTCGTTACACGCAGATAAACAGCTTGTATAGGTTAACTCGAACCCTATTGCCTATATTGCATTTCATTAAGGCGTTAAGTGGCCTTCGACGGCATTTTATTATTGACATTGAGGGTCTTTACGCAAAACTGCAAAAGGCCAGTAGAGGTCAACTGTTCAAATTGCACGGATGGGTCTTGTGAATATTCCCTCGCTAAAGATATTATTTATTTGCCGTGTGCTTGCGCCTCCTATCATTTTTTCCTCGTTAAATGTTGGCTATCCTGCGACCTGTGACCCCGACTCTCCAGATATCACTCTGTCGACAGTATTTGCATTTTTTCATTTGTTCAACAGTGTTCGGTTTATTGATGACACCTCCGAGCTTCGTTATTCCTGCAGCAGCAATTAAGTTCTCCACATCCTTTCACAGTAGACAAACAGGTTGTATCACTTACTGCTGGTTGGGCAAAATGAACAAAAAATTACCATTCGGTGGCCTTTCCTATAGCAACAATAATTAATAGGGAAGAATACCAATTTTCCAAAGTTGTCTGAAAAGTATACGACAGATGGAGCTTTGACGTAAAACGGGTTGCGGGATTTCGGGCATTTTACCCAGCATTCTGGATATTTTTCCAGGAAATTGCAAACATATCAAGCACGTGCTGAATTTGAATATTGCACAGACGCAGTAGCAGTAGTAGTACAGCTTTATTCGGTTATCATTATGACGTTATATTGTTTGTAAACATTGAATAGGTACCAAGTCTTCTTATAATTGGTAATCTATTTGGATCAAGCATGACAACACAGGGACGATATTCGATTCTTTCAAATTATTTGTCACTTCAGCCATTATACGTAAAATTTCTCCATTATTCGAAAAGTACAAATCAAATTTAAAACTCTTTGAGAAATTTCTATATAATTCTAGTTCCAAACAGGATCTTATAAGATCTTCAGAAAATGAAAAATAGACAATACACGGGTGGATAGGTTCAGTTACGTATGTAGGGTGGGGTTCTAGGGGAGCCTGCTTCCCCCCCAATTTATATACCCTTCAAGATTCTATTGTCTACATATTGTGTGCGTGGCCCTTCTGATTTCCGTCTCTTATTTACTTTTCGCGCCATTGACGACGAAATATTGCAATTGCGAAACATTTCGAAAATTAAAAGAAAAAAATCATTCCTTCAACTTGTTTTTTTGGCAACATAATGACAATATCCAAAGCACGCTGGGGCAACACAGTCAACGTTTTATCTTTGTTTTTGCTTACCTTTGTTATCTCTTAGTTTTTGTGAAGAAAGCAGTTTCTGAGAGCTGAATAGTACATATATTTTTAGTTATTGCCCTTTCGTTTATTAGTGTTAAGCTTAACAAAATGCCTCTAGCTCGAAGACGTCCAAATTATCACCATGTTAGCGACTTTGACTATCGAGATGTTGGTACCTTATCGCGAAATTGACCGCCGTGTTAATTGTAATGCAATGACGGTAATGCGTGTGTGTCGTGTGTGGATAGAAGACTGTAGAGAAACACGAAAAAGGCCAACTGATCCACAGAGCGTCAAGATAGGCGCTTCATACAACTAGCCCTCCGAGATTGTTCTGCTACTACGCATCAGATCGCTGACAAATGTTTTGGAGAAGAAGGTACACCTGTTACTAAGCGGACATTCTATCGCCGCACTCGAGCATGTGGACTTTTTTCATAGCTTCCACGGTTAGTGCTTCCTCTGACTGCGGACCACTGTTGGCTTTGAACTGGAGAAGAGAACGGCAACATTGAGAAATTTCTATGAAAAATAGACAATACACGGGTGGATAGGTTCAGTTACGTATGTAGGGTGGGGTTCTAGGGGAGCCTGCTTCCCCCCCAATTTATATACCCTTCAAGATTCTATGGTCTACATATTGTGTGCGTGGCCCTTCTGATTTCCGTTTCTTATTTACTTTTCGCGCCATTGGCGACGAAATATTGCAATTGCGAAACATTTCGAAAATTAAAATATGTTTTTTGGAGTTTGTATGACATATATACTCAGTGGCATTAAAAGTGTTACATCCAGAAAAAATCATTCCTTCAACTTGTTTTTTTGGCAACATAATGACAATATCTAAAGCACGCTGGGGCAACACAGTCAACGTTTTATCTTTGTTTTTGCTTACCTTTGTTATCTCTTAGTTTTTGTGAAGAAAGCAGTTTCTGAGACCTGAGTAGTACATATATTTTTAGTTATTGCCCTTTCGTTTATTAGTGTTAAGCTTAACAAAATGCCTCGAGCTCGAAGACGTCCAAATTATCACCATGTTAACGACTTTGACTATCGAGATGTTGGTACCTTACCGCGAAATTGACCGCCGTGTTATTGTAATGCAATGACGGTAATGCGTGTGTGTCGTGTGTGGATAGAAGACTGTAGAGAAACACGAAAAAGGCCAACTGATCCACAGAGCGTCAAGATAGGCGCTTCATACAACTAGCCCTCCGAGATTGTTCTGCTACTACGCATCAGATCGCTGACAAATGTTTTGGAGAAGAAGGTACACCTGTTACTAAGCGGACATTCTATCGCCGCACTCGAGCATGTGGACTTTTTTCATAGCTTCCACGGTTAGTGCTTCCTCTGACTGCGGACCACTGTTGGCTTTGAACTGGAGAAGAGAACGGCAACATTGAGAAATTTCTATGAAAAATAGACAATACACGGGTGGATAGGTTCAGTTACGTATGTAGGGTGGGGTTCTAGGGGAGCCTGCTTCCCCCCCAATTTATATACCCTTCAAGATTCTATGGTCTACATACTGTGTGCGTGGCCCTTCTGATTTCCGTTTCTTATTTACTTTTCGCGCCATTGGCGACGAAATATTGCAATTGCGAAACATTTCGAAAATTAAAATATGTTTTTTGGACTTTGTATGACATATATACTCAGTGGCATCAAAAGTGTTACATCCAGAAAAAATCATTCCTTCAACTTGTTTTTTTGGCAACATAATGACAATATCTAAAGCACGCTGGGGCAACACAGTCAACGTTTTATCTTTGTTTTTGCTTACCTTTGTTATCTCTTAGTTTTTGTGAAGAAAGCAGTTTCTGAGAGCTGAGTAGTACATATATTTTTAGTTATTGCCCTTTCGTTTATTAGTGTTAAGCTTAACAAAATGCCTCGAGCTCGAAGACGTCCAAATTATCACCATGTTAGCGACTTTGACTATCGAGATGTTGGTACCTTACCGCGAAATTGACCGCCGTGTTATTGTAATGCAATGACGGTAATGCGTGTGTGTCGTGTGTGGATAGAAGACGGTAGAGAAACACGAAAAAGGCCAACTGGTCCACAGAGCGTCAAGATAGGCGCTTCATACAACCAGCCCTACGAGATTGTTTTGCTACTCACGCATCAGATCGCTGACAAATGTTTTGGAGAAGAAGGTACACCTGTTACTATGCGGACACTCTATCGCCGCACTCGAGCATGTGGACTTTTTTCATAGCTTCCACGGTTAGTGCTTCCTCTGACTGCGGACCACTCTTGGCTTTGAACTGGAGAAGAGAACGGCAACATTGGGAGGCAGAATGGCATGTCATATTCAGCGACGAATCGCGATTCTGTCTAGGTACGCAGGATGGTCGTAGAAGTTTAAGACGCCGCCCTTATTACTTTTTTTCTTAATACTAGTCAATAAAACTTCGTGAGAATGTTATTGTTTCATTCTTTCATTGCCAAAAAAAAAACAAGTGAAAACATTATTTTTTCAGGATGTAACACTTCTAATGTCTAATGGTACATAGTCACCACTATAATATGGGCATCAGATGAAAGGGCTTGAGAGAAGCTCGTCAAGCAAAGTGTTTTCATTTCAAATCAAATTTGCCGACAGCCGCAAGGTGGCGTTTTTAATTTCTATAATTTATACCTGTGATATGGTTTTATCAACTGAAAGGGCTTGATGGGAGAGATACAGTAAAATATCGATTTATAATTTCCAGTCACCCCCATATTACGGATATCAAATGAAATAGATTGATGAAAGAAACACCATAAGCAAAGTGACGTCATTCTAAACAATATGGCGGATGTTTGATAATTAACAATGCAATATTATTATGATATGGAGATCCGATGATGAAGCCAGGAAGTGTTTACTTTTCTTAGTTGACACCGAAGTAATTCAAATTTGACCACTGTACAACATTTGTTTCCACTATCAAATCACACTAGTGCTTGCCTGTGCGCTCCTCTACGTAAGCTATTATTTACACTTGGTACTAATGGCATATCAAAGAATGCTGAGCCAATGAGACCGCACGAGAGGCTCGGCATAGGGCGCTTTCGAGTTAGACCTCTTGACTAATTTTTTATTGTACTCGACCTGAATGATTTATTATTTATTAATGATAATAGTACACCCACAGATTTCTAACAGCGATTGCATCTACTATTACTCACAATCACAAACATGAGCTTTCCGCGCAGAAAATCATGGGACAGTGCAGTTTGTCTCATTACCACGCAATTCAAATATACTATTATTCATAGTTTGAGTTGAATTCAATTCATGACGACTTTGTTGTTATGTCTTATTTTTTCGCGGGGCAAACATAACTAAGCAAATACTTTAAGTCGTATACATTTTTTATCAGGCATAACTCGATTTGCTTAATGTTTGCTTTAGTTAACAATAACGTTACAAACCCATATAGTGTGAACAACTTAAATTATAATAAAACAAAATGTTACGGCAAACAGAAAAACTGTAATAACTCATTTTACAACAGAATTATTGGATGTCGATCAAATTGTCCCTCATTGATATATACAAAAAAATGTATCTGGCTATCGTTTTTATTAAACGTCAATGTTGGAAAAATCCCTTTTGGGTATTTACTCTAATAGTTATAAATCATCGGTGTCAGTGGTCCAAAAAAGTTGTAGGGGATGAAAATACCTTCAAAATGTGACCTTAAATGGCCAATTTGTTTTAACGGTTAATGTGTTATTATAAAAAACGTGAATAAAATCGTCGATTTCCACATTTTTTTTGACAGAAAAATGCGTACCTAACGCTAAATCTCAAATAGTACCTAAAACTTAATGCTTTTGTGGTACTTAACGGTCTCGGAAAATTTCTTTTTTTTGTTAAGAAAATTGGCCTTTTTTTCACGCGACTTTAGGTTAATCAAATTCTCTTGCTAGAGACGTTGTTCAATATCGTATTAAAATATTTACTAGATTTCCGATACAATCTATGTGAAAAGCGTTGCCAAGTATACATCTTACCTTATAAACAAGTAGAATAAGTCCGTTGTTTTTTATCAGTCGTGATTAGGATGCTCACTACTGAAAAGCTGATGAAGATGCTCACTTTGAAGAAAGAGTGACTTTTTGGACCATTGGGGATCTAAACAACATTTTTTTTCAAAGAAATCACCGTAACGTTGATTATCAACATTAAGGATCCCACTTAAACTCATTATTTTTACATGCTGGACTCGAGAAGTGACATACTCAAAGCCAAATTTGTAATCTCGACCTAATCGGAGTAAGCCATCCAATTACTGGTTTTTATTGGTTCACTTGATTATTGCAGTCATGGTCGCGCTTCATTGTAGGGTTTTTTGTATAAAACTGACGGGAAGCAGTTCACTGGTTTTGGTGCCCTGTTCTACTGTCTTTTTATACACGGTGTCCCATTTCAATTTCCCGAACTAAATATTTCGAAAACTTTGCATTATAGAAAAAAGCTTCAAACCAACATAATCATGACTTGACAATGTCCTTGACTACTACCAAGGTCCTTTCAAAGTCAAGTGAATATTTTCAAATGGAATTCTACACCCGAACATCGCCTTGGCCATGACCTTATCTTCACGTCCAAATTCAAGGTCACCGAGATATCAAAAATAATTTTCTCAGGCAAAAATGTTGGACAGTACAGTTTGTCAGGTAACCTTGACCTTGATCATAGTCTTTATTATGATATAGGTTATGACCTTCAAGGTCAAGTCAATATTTCAAAAGGAAACCTCTAATTTTAGTACTGGAAATTTGACCTTGACCTCAAATAACATTTAACCTTGACTTGACTTTGAATTATTTGCATATATTGGATTGTTCTCCTTGACGTAATCTTATGTAAGTGACCTCGTTTCAGGTTTGGCAAATCATGGACATATCTGCAACCCGTACAAGGTAAGTGCTATTTATTGACTGGCATGAGTCTCTGAATAGGTAAGAATATACATGGTGCTGATAAAAAAGTTCCTTAACATCCAAAGGGGTATTTTAATCCGGCAATCTAGATGGCCGTAAATTAAAATCTACTCAAGGATGGTTACTATTTTTACGAAAAATCATATTAAATATTGTTACGTTTATCATTCGAAATTATTTTATAAAATCCTCAACCTTTTTGTCGAATTGGACGGTGAAAAAATTGTTCACCCCGTTACTGTAGTTTTGCTGAAAAATACTCATAAACAATATTTAATGACGCTTTGTAACAAAACCCAATATGATACCCGTAAAAAGCAGCTGAGGACCATACGTACCTCCCTCAGAGTAAAAGTTATTACCCAAGAGCATTTTGTCTCTGTGTGGTAAGTTTGAACAGGGCTGTATTCAGGTTTCAAAAAACAACATTTGTTGACTTTGGACTGTACTGTGAGAAAATACGGATACACGTTTTTCGACTCTCTCGCCAAATATACCAATTCAATCGACTCTATTGTAACAAATACAAATCATTAAAGACGTATTAGATGCTTATTGAAAAAATGTTTCACTGTTTTGGAAAAAAGGAAACGCATTTTTTGTTTTCTTGATTAAAAGAAACATCACAAACTATCAAAAATACTGCATTTTACTATACTTGATCATAGATAATGACTTATGGAGTTATTCCAAAGTGAAAGCATGTTTTGATATGAATTTTTAACTTTCGTTCCTTATGCTTCAAGAATCTTCATGGTGTAAAAAAAATAAAGGACCTCTACAAAAAAGGATAGTAGTTTTTTACGATTAGGTTGTCAGTTTAGATATTTTGAGCGAAAATATCATGACATCTATCTTTTATCTTATATTTCTCGTGACCTGTTGACTATACAGTAAATTTTTATAGAAGCAAAATTATAAAGAATTTTATTTATTCCATGACAAATTTTAGAGAAAACGCATTAAAACGATCCCCAGGTCCACTAAAAAATGAAAAGTGGTGTCCTTATATTTTTTCACGTATTTTTTCAATCTGAAAATTTGGGGAAGATGGACAAATATAAAAGCGAGCTAGAATTAAAAATGTTGGTATTTTTGTTGAATGTACATCTATGCCAAATGCCAAAATGTGTAATCTTAATTTCTCAATTACTTTCTTATCTCTCCACCGACCCCCAATCTCGACTTCAGATTTGTGTTCAGCGTGGAGAAGAATATGGAAAAAACATAGTCGTATTCCAAGTACACACTACTTTTGTTACAATAATGAGCTAAAACATAGGTATATGTTGTACAAAAATATCCTGAATAAAAATATAACAGGTATGTATACAAAGATATTAAATATAATTAGCATTGAATATGTACTGATAGCTGCGTAAAATTACTGGGGTTGGAAGCGTATACATATACTGTCGCCAAAAAAATAGGATATACCCTCCCGTACCCCCTCCAACTTCCAATTTTCAACCCGTCAAAAACGTGATTTTTCGTTATTTACATGTCATATAACACCCAAAAACATAATATCTCATTTTATTCCTCACCAGTATGAGAAGTAAAAAAAATACCTATTTCTTGGCCTATTACCAAGGTTTAACCCGAATTAAATGCAAAAATATATTTTTCAATTACTATTATATTAGTTACAAATTCAATAACTTGTATAGTAATACATAGTGTCTTATTGCAATATCACGATCACCAATCAAAGTATTTGTAATATTCTAATTATAAAATAAATGATAATGGACTGTTTTATCTGGTTTTGATTTTTGTATACGCTTTCTTATCACCGAAGAAATTACATACAACGATAAGATTATACTTTTTCATAATAAAGATATACAAAAAAAATATTTCAAATAAAAACTGTTTACACGATAGTATCTGTCAACGCCATAAATCTAATTGGGATTACTAAACGACTACTTTTTGCCAAGTAATTGCTAGATACACATACAGGGTTGCCCAAAATTGCTGTCAATAAAAAAGCACTAAATGCGTGTACCGTCCCAAAATTGATTCTTTTTCATGCTTTTATTTTGAAATGTCGCATCATTTCGCAATGCCTCACATCTGTATTTTCTATTGACATCGCAAAATGAATTTCTATAAAATTTAAATGACTGGAAATAAAAAATAATGTAGTAACCTTTTCACTTTCATAAATATTCCTGGCTGTAGCATATGTTCTCACATGTTCCTTCACCAACCAGGGATTTTCTTTTTTTATTTCTCATTTTTGAAAATCAGCAAATTAGCATATATGTAATTTCCAGAATGGATAAGAAAAAGTGTAGATATACGCAACTAATTTCTAGCTTCGAATCTCAAGTAAGTGTACTTGAGACAAGAATCTAATGGAATTATCATCAACACATATTAATAGCACGCAAATCCTCACTATGCACCTACCTTTGCCGTTACCTTCTAGCTATAGTATACAACTTTTAGACCTCCAGTAATGCCATCTTTGAAGCAGATTTCACATCACATCAGAGCCAAGGATTGATAACTGAAGCATCATGAAGCTTAGGCGACACGTACAACAACAAAACGAGTTCACAACGTGTCCATCAGCTAAGTTAACATTTTGTAGAAAAACCTTTCTACTGTCACAAAAAACCAATACAATGACAAAAAAAAATAGTAATACCCGCGCCAATTGCACGCAATTTTTAAAACGAATAATTAATTTCTTCTGATAAAAGCTGAACCCAGCTGGATCAGAAAAATGAAATTTTCAAAGTGCTGTATCTAAGCGACAGAAAAAGGTATTTAAGCAATCATGGGTCCGGAAATTCTTGATCGGCGGTGAAAAAGATAGTAATTTTTGCACCACCCTGTATTTTATGAACACCCTGTATGCTTACCGCCCATGCCTGCGTGCTACAGCTGCATCAATGCTGTTGCACCAGCGCAGCTCTCTGGACACGTGTCTTGCATCAAAACACGAGCCATTCCCCACCACGATGCAAACAACTGTCGCTCATATTTCACTCTAATTACTGAGCGCGTTTTAAAACTGTACTTTTGTTTCTTGAACCTAGGGGGATGCATAAACTGGGGATTCGGAGAAAATTAGTAATAACCAAGGTATATGAGATAGTCCAGGAAATAAGCTATTTGTTTCTACAATTTTGGCGACAGTAAACTTTTTTGCTCAAATCCCTAATGGCAAGTTCAAATTAGCGTATTATTATTAATCGTATAAGCAGAAATATATTAATTTCTCGTTGTCTGTTGACTATACGACAATTTTTTATTGAAGTAAAATGATCAGGAATTTAATTCTCGACAATATTGTTTATATTGTTTATAACATACTAGATGACCCGACTGACGTTGTCCTGTCTTAGCTGTATAGCATTAGGAAACAAAAAAAAAGATGAATGAAATCGGTAAAGTCGTTCTCAAGTTATGGCGTGACCACGCGAAATAGGGATTCATTTTATATACATCAACTTCGAAGTATATAAAAAAAATTGGAAAATAATCCGCAAAAAGAAGGAAAGTGGATTCGAGCAGAAAATAGGATAGGTAACCCGAGCAATACGTATTTCTGCTGGTTGGCTTCATCAGGCCCTCTCCATTTCGTTTCCTCAGGTTATACCCGTATCCGGATGTATGGGCATGTGTATCTACTTTTGTAGTTGCATATGTGCATTCATTTCGGGCATGATGAAGCCAACCAGCAGAAATACGTATCGCTCGGGTTACCTATCCTATTTTACCTGCTCAATTCCACTTTCCTTCTTTTTGCGGATTTTGCCCATTATTTTCCTATTTTTTGTTATTTACCATGATCATTTTCTCTTTATATATATATATACAGGGTGACTTCGAAGTTGAGTCATTTATTTTAACAGTGAGTAGATCTGATCAAAAGAAATGTTTTTTTCCTTTACCATTTTTCTGGTAAAATTAAAGTAACAAAGTTATAGCCCTTTGGAAGTTTGAGTACCGCCCTGTCTCAATGTGCTCGTGTTTGGCGACAACGGATATAATCCGTCGTATCGGTTCATCGCATCGGAAACAAAAAAGCGAAAGAATTTGGAACGAATTATTTCATTCATTTGTATACAGTCAGTGTCAGTGAATAGTTGTATCTGTTGCGTGGCTCAAACGAAATAAAAAATGGCACATGTTTATGCGGATCGGTTTCCCAATCGAGTGCAACCAACCCCTCGTGCCTTTGTTAATGTAGTACAACGGGCTCGTGAATCAGGTGACTTAAGACCTCACAGGGGACCTCACGATCAAATACAGGTCCGCACTGAAATACTTGTCGGGAGGATACTTTATAAAACAAGGTAAACATTTTTTTTTAATTTTTTTTTTATTTTTACACACATATTTTGGTTTATATTCCTTCTACAATCATTATCTGAAAATTAATGACTCAACTTCAAAGTCACCCTGTATATATATATATATATCGATGGTTTTCAAGATGTCCGATCAAACTCGGCAAATGCTCCAGCCCTATAATGACGCAAATAAGCAAATTCGGCATCAATAATATCAATCGATACCACAAAACAATTTATTGTCGCTAATATTGTCTCCTACAAAATCTCCAAATTTCTTGGCCTAATATACGAGTAGGTAGGTAGTCTGTGGAAATTCACATTTTAAATTAAACGTGGAGCGAAGTAGTTAGCGTGGTCCGCTGCGTTTTTGCACTTCCATTTTATGAAATCGTTGTTTATATTTTGTGATGCATGTATATATGTCCGCGTAATTCAAAAGTTCACCTCTTGTTAGCCTACCAAAGAAGGCTAAAAGTTGCTTCGAAATAAACTAAGCCAAAAATGCATTCCGATTTAATTAGCGTGTTTTAAAGCATAGCGCGTAAGTAACAATTAAATAACAATGCTTTAATATGAACTAAGCTTGAAATACTCTTCTATTGCAGGAGAATTGTTGAGCTTCAATTTCGATACTTGGCAATTTTAAAAACAAAACTGTTTATTCAAGTTTTCAAGCATTGATGATGGCCTTTATTAGGGCTTTTCAGACAGTGAAGCACTTAACTTGAAAACGGCCAAGTTTAGATTGAAGCACTAAAGATTTTTTTACCTGGGTACTGAGAAAATACTTTGCCATTCAAAGGTCTTGTCGAGCACTAGAAGTAGCCATGATGATTGTTTTGAAAAGTACTGAAAACTGGAAATTGCATTACAAAGAACTTTAGCGTTTTCTGTATATGTCAGTTTCTGGAATATGATAAACTAACTGTTACCCGCGAGTTCGTCAGTTCAAAATTGTTAAACTAACCAAAATTTTAAAATTAACGCAGATTAAACAAAATTTTACATTGTAAAAATACCTTGTTAAAAAAGGTAAATATGTATAAGCAATTGGGCTCGGCAAACTCAAGCAAACCTGAACCAAATCGAAGCCGGTCCTGTCCTATCCCTCGATCACGTCCACAGCGTCAGCGTACAGTTATACCACGTACGACAATGATGTAAATATGGATTTTACGACAGAGCCGTACTTGGAATTTCAATCCAACTGAACAGTGAGTGCTTTTTCATTTATTTTTTCTACTTGTTCGCTCACGTTTCACCACACATCAGTTTTGTTATATCGAGCGTAGTTGTGTCTAAAAAGGAAAACCCCAACTTGACGGACATCCTGTATAGGATTTTCACGCTTATATGCCACTGTTTAACTAACACGATACGTAGAAACAGATAAAGGAAATTCCTCCAAAGAAGTCATTCCATCGGGTTTTCCACAATGCTCCATTTAAGATCCTCGGATTTTTAGTATTTATCCAAGCTTTCCCGATGTTTCCGGAATTATCAGGTACATTTGTATGCTGACGGTACTTAGCTTTATTTTTCTTTTAATCCTAAGGAGAAACGTGATGCTTTGTCCATTATTAGTTGCGATATTGAAAGACATTATACTTTTCATGTCAAAATAAGTGAATCTATAATACCGTTTTCAGTCATTGTAAGACATTTTTGACTCAAACCTAAGATTCAAGCCTCATTTTAATAAATAGAAAATGAATGATTTCATAATGAAAAGGTAAACCTGGCCGCACAGGGTTAATCAATGATTAGTTATGCTACCGGGGAAACGAGTAGATTTTCCGAAAAAATGGTAGTGTTGGCAGTGTTGTTGTGTTCCCCTGCCCCCCCCCATGTTCTAGTCGGGAGATGTCGTCAGGTACGCAACGGCAATCGATATGGCGGCAACAGCGTGGAAGCGGCAAACTGGAAGTTTAAAACCAGTGCTGTGCTGGCGAGCTTTCGATTTAATATGGTTGATACAATTAGGGTTGATAACTTTTATTACAAGAAATAAAGTATATTTGGGTCTGAGGAAAACAGTATTTTAAAAATATGAAGTACGAGGGTGAATCAGATATGAACCGAACTTTTATTTTAGTAATTTTATTTACATATTTTTCTACATAATCTCCTCTCTTATTGATGCATTTTTCCCAGCGGATCGGAAGTTTTTTGATTCCTCCATCAAAGAATGAAGCTGTTAGTGTCAGTAGCCAATCGTGTATGAACGTTTCCACAATCGTGACCTCTCAGGTCTTCTTTAAGTTGCCCAAACTGGTGATAGTCCCATGGCGGCAAATCGTGACTGTAAGGAGGTCTTTCAAGTGTTTCTCAATGATTTGATATGGAGCACTTCGAATAAGCATTAACTGTTCAGCGATCGTGAAGAAAATCCACCAGCAGTCCACCTCTGGAATCCCAAAATACCGTTGCAAGAACCTTTCAAGCAGAAATACTGGTCCTGGCTTTCAGCGGTGCTGGCTCTCCAGGCCTTCGCCACTTTTTTGCGGATTTTGCCCATTATTTTCCTATTTTTTTTGTTATATACATTTCTCCGCATGATTATTTTCTCTTTGTAGATCCTTTGGGCTTGAAGTACCACAGCAAGTGGCTATAACCGGCCGCGTGGTTGTGGTTAGATGTCGCCTTGAAAATTCCAGGTCTTCTAGCTATTTTATACTAATTGTAGTAGGTTGGCTCTTGTTGTGGACTTCGTGTGTGATTTTTTCCCATCCATCTTTATTTCCTCAGGTTACACCCGTATCTGGATGTATGAGCATGTGTATCTACTTTTGTAGTTGCATATGTGCATTTATTTCGGGCCTGATGAAGCCAACCAGCAGAAATACGTATCGCTCGGGTTACCTATCCTATTTTCTGCTCCAATCCACTTTCCTCCTTTTTGCGGATTTGGTCAATTATTTCCCTATTTTTTATATATATATATATATATATATATATATATAGGTGAAAAAATAAAGCTTCCGCCTTTTGTTGGGTACTTCGACAAAATTCAAGTAAAGAGGACTCTATACTTTATTAATCTCTAGCTTTCAATGGACTTTGCCATCTTCATCAGGAGCTGCAATAACATTGAGAAGAAATACCAACTATTGTACAAAATGATTTTAAATTAACTTACAGTCGTATGTGAGATTGTTGCTAAATGTTATTAACGTTTAGGTTGAGGGAAACAACCAGTAACCTGGTGAATGCTGGATACATGGTACATTCGTCAAAATCAATATAAACTACACACAGCTGTATGTCAGGAACAAATTAAAACGGATTAAAATATTATATATTTATAGAAATCAGACAAGTTATTCTGTGATAAACCCTGTTGTATTCGTTTCTGTAGGTAACACCACGTTCGAGGTGGACGCCTAGTGGAAGATCAGGAGTAGGGGGTTCTCCCCTTCTGTGTCTCCGTGGGGCACATGGGTGTGCACGTGTTGCTATCAGACATACAAAACCTCACAGATTTCAGTCACATGGAAGACGATGCTACACTGTTGCTTCCCGTTCGCTTTATACAGGGTTGATCGCAAGGTCTGATCGAAACGAGCTAAAAAATGTCGCAAGTAGGTTGACTCTGTATTCCCTACGTAACGCTGTTATCAGTTTACATATCAAATTATTGCATTGTCATCGGTCCTTGATACGTGCGAAGTTTCAGGTTAATCAAACTTCTGGAAGTTATGCTCAAAGATTCCGCTACATAGATACAGCCATACATACATACTTAATATACAAAAATGAAGGTTCTGTAATGAACAATTAATTTCCTCTAGTTCCTTATGCATCTTGCCTTGTTTTGGCACTGGGGGTGTCACCCGTAAATGCTGTTAGTCGGATCTCGGACAACTTGAATTATCTAGTTAAATTTCCATGGAAAATTTAAATTGGAAAATCTGCGCGGAAACATAGTGGCAATCTGATTAGCTGCTATAAGTCTGGAACTTATCGAATTGCTAGAAGACGGTGGAAAAATGTACGAATTATTGAAATTAAATGGTGAAAATGTCGCTTACGAATTGACATAATCTTTGAAGTATGTGCTTAAACTACTGATGCATTCATTTAGTGATGACTTCTCGCCAGCCTATACCTTTTAAACATAACATTACTGTATTTGATACTCTCAACTCACGTTAAAAAAAAAATAGAATTTTGTTCGTATAAAAACAACTTGAGAAGTACCTACTGCTAAGAAAAATGTTGAATTTTCAAAATACATATTTAAATGCAAAAATTCCAATGATACGTTAACTTGAAATTCAAGTTATTTTCAGTGTCGAAAAACCCCTTATGAACCCAGATCCTTTCCATTTGAAAAATAGATGCTACAAGTGTTCAAAGTATAGAAAAAGATGTTTCAAAGTGTTTTCGATAGTCTCAGTGATTTCGTAAGGAATGACTTGACTTAAGCTTCCATTGAATAATGCAAAACCCTTTGATAGGTCATGAAATATATATGAAGCTTTTAATAACAGAAGGCGGCACAGCATTATATAAAGGGACTCACTTAAATATGGCATGGAAAAATCGATAATATACTATACTATGTGAAAATGTAATTATAGAACATCTTATGGTATGTGTTTCTTTGAAAAATGTAGTAGCTTTGATTAATTCATATGCACGGAGAGTGGTATATTGATTGAAACGTAGAGACTTTTCCACTCGCAACGTTGCTGCAAATGACATGGTTAAGAAAACTGATATAATTTTGTTTAGAAAATTATATGAACGAGTAGTCCTTTATAACAGGGATTTTTCCTTGCTACGTCCACAAATATACCGGGCGGTTCAAATCCGGCTCCCACCATTGCGATCTCAGAAACGAAACTAAATTTGCAGTATTTGGGGCTGTCTGTTACCCTGCATGCTATTTCGCAATTTTGTATCATCGCGATGCATCGATGAAACTCGATTTTCACAGCATCCAGACGGAAAGTGATAATTTCCCCTGTGTGGATTTACCAATTTTTGCCGCTCTGGGCGACGATGAGGTCTTCCCATTTACCTCGCTTCCGATGGTATCATAACGCTACCATTATAATTATTGGTTGCCTGTGATTTAAGCTTTTGTAAAACGTTACAAGAATCAAAATATCGAAAATTCACCATGGACATATTTGATCAAACGCAATACAAAACTTTGTATTCCAAATCACCCTTGCCTAAAAATACTTTCCATGGAGTCACATTCCTTATATACTAAGTGACATATAAATCCGAACACCCAGTTTAAATGGTTTTATTTTAATAAACGTTGGTGAATGTATTTATCTTACTGTAAATAACAAGTGAAAAAATGTTCAGCCTTATCAGTTGGACATTCGGGTTTTTATACTGCTTTTTTTTAATTCACTAACGCTCTAAAAATGAATATTTCAGCCGCAGTAAAGAATCAACGTTGGCGGATTTTTGTTCTTGACATCATTTACGATCAGTTACGATGCCTAGAGTACGGAGACCTGTACGATTTCGTCAACTTAGTGAGTTTGATAGGGGCCGTATAGTGGGACTTGTCAGGCATGGCTTCGAGAAGGCCGTACGCAAAGAGCAAGGGGCACTGGACGCCGCCGTAGAACAACAGACCGTCAAGATCGCCGCCTAAGATTATTGGCCTTAAGGGACCGTTTCTCCACTACCAGGTCCATTGCAAATGAATGGTTTGCAGAACACGGAAGACCTATTGGCATGCGAAGTGTTTACCGACGAATGAGAAGTTTTGGCTTGTTTTCATACCGGCCACACTGGGTCCTCCCTTTAACTCGAGAACACCGACGTAATCGCCTTGAGTGGTGCAGACAACGGTCACTCTGGGATCAGGAATGGAACAGTATTGTCTTTAGTGACGAGTCTCGATTTTGTTTAGGCATGCACGATGGTCGTGCCAGGGTTAGAAGGCGACGTGGTGAAAGGAGGAATCCACAGTTTTTTGTTGAAAGACATGTTCATCACACTGTTGGAGTTATGGTTTGGGGTGCTATAGCTTATGGTTCCAGGTCACCTTTAATCTTCATCAGAGGTAACATGAACGCGCAGCGTTATATCCACGAAGTTCTAGAACCCCATCTTTTACCCTACCTTGACACCCTGGCAGATCCAACTTTCCAACAAGATAATGCCCGACCACATGTTGCAAGAGTCACAATAGACTTCTTTCAACATAATGATGTCACATTGTTACCATGGCCACCAAGATCTCCCGACTTATCCTCAACTGAGCACGTGTGGGATATGATGGGTAGGAGATTGCTCAATTTGCAACGTCCTCCTCAGACTCTAGAAGCACTTCGAGAGGAGTTGGTGGTTGCCTGGAATGAGATACCACAGGAGGACATTGACCACCTGATCAGAAGCATGCCTAGCCGAGTTGGAGAATGCGTAGCACATTAGGGTGCATCCACACATTATTAAAGGTCAAAGGGCTTTAAAGCAGTGCAATTATTTTGAAATTTTTATCATTTACTTATGCTTCATTAAGTACTTATACAAAATTTTATTAAAATAAAACCATTTAAACTGGGTGTTTGGATTTATATGTCACTTAGTATATCTGTTAAGGGGATGAGCTAGGTTGCAGAAATACATAATCCGCTAGATGACAGCTCAATTATTAAACCATGTTTAAACCATATGGGAAAAAAGAACATACAAAAACGTGACCAACCACCTTAAAGCTCTCCTATATTTGTATTAGAAGTGATATCAACAGATCCTCAACTTATTCTTACGCTCTTCCTTGATAGCTCGTGAACCATATGCTTTTTTTTGGACAGGGAGAATCTTTATAGCTACTCTCAGGCAGAAAAGCTTGTCGATAATGGCCGCTGCTGTCCAAAGTGTGAGATTCTCCAAAAATGCGTCGTACGCACCAAAACCCCACAATAATTTGTTGCACATCACAACACTGCAATGATTGCAGCATTTCATCATGGTGCGCTAAGCTTTCCAACCAAAGGTATTAGTCATATTTTTATAGTTGTGCATTCACGCAGCCCAGCAAGTATAAACCAAAACTTCACCGAAAGATTTTAGTCTTTCAAATCTGAGTGAAAATGAGAAAGCTCTGTTTGTACAACAAAGAGCGTAAGGTTGCATTTAATTAATCACTCGTTCTGATGGAAGCCCTACATAAAATAGAGGAAATGAGCAGATAGCATGCTGAAGTGCATCCAACTCTTTGGGTGTAAATGAGATTTTTAAGAGGATTTTTTAAACCGATATCCGGTGAAGAAGACATTTTTATACCCTTATAACAGAGCTATAGGTATTCAGTTGTCAAAGCTAATTGCATTACCCCCAATTTCAGTTTCCTAACTTGACCCTTTCAAAAAATAACTATTGGGTAGAGACCTTTTTGAAAAGCACTATATATGAATGCGTGCGACGTAATGAGTCAGCCTACTTGACACTGTTTTTATTGGTAATTATATGCCACTGTAACTAAAATTGGATAATGATTTTTGGTGATAACGTGTATAAGTGGGTATATATGTATTTCGAATTCGTGAATGGAATTGAGTAAAGACGCGGTTTTACCAGAAAGCATTCAACTTTGAGAACACGTCAACCGCGAATCTATGTATAGATAGATATTTCGGTTTGTTTATGTCTATAATTAACATTAAAAATTGTTCAGGCAATGCTGTGTGTGCAACTTAGGCAGGTCAAAAATACTCAAAAAGCTGTGCTATGGGAGTACTGAAATAAAACTTGTATTTTGAGCGAGGCTTGCTTTTATTCTGAATGAGAAGGCTGTACGCCCCGGCATCGCCAGTTGAAAAGTGTGCGTGTTCTCTCCCAACACGAAGGGAAATATCATGTTTGGAAACCGGAAAATCCGAGAAAAATCAAGCGCGTTGTGTCACACGTGCGTGGAGCTTGTGTCAGGACCTGCTACCACCCGGCCATATACTTGACCGTCACCTCAAACAGGTAATTTAAACATTCTTTCGTACAGGCATGCGCTCCATGGTTCACTCGACACAACATTGTGTCACTGTAACTGTCTTTTTGTACATGTTTCATCCTAGACAGCACCTATAGAGTGACGGTCAATGAATGGCGTCTAGAAGGCTGACTCTGCACACCCTGAACAACGCAAGGGCATAAGTCGCAGAAAAATACATCAAAGTACATGTATAACAAAAAAAGTGAGTGGATCAAGTCAGTCATTCGGGCCTATACTATTAGATCATAATAATTTGTCCCCTATCCTACCGACAGTGCCGACCATCTGGCAACGTTGCTATGACTAACTTCGCCACTTCCCATCCACCCATTCAGAGCTCCAAGCATGTCTACCAACCTCAAATGCGTTGTGTGTGGGACGCGTTTATTTAAAATATTTCTCTATCATTCATAGTTTATATTATATATATATATGGGTGATTCTCTGTAAAGTCGTAAATCCCGGTCCATGTCTGATATTCAATTGAGTATTGTTATATAAAACATAAAGGATGCTTATACAATAAGTTTAACAATATGCCTTCCTTGTGCGATTGATATAATATTGGTAATAGTTACAGTTTATTTTTTATATGCTCCGAAATATCATGAAACACAGTCCCCTGGGCTGTCCCATTCCTATGATATAAACTTTGTGATATTATTTTCAATGGATTTATGAATGTCATGCTATCTGGCCAATTGTCCTTTGAAAATGAATAAACCAAATTATGACAATTCTGTCAAATGATACTATAATTTAAATTTATCAAGTTTCTAAAATGTGTGTAATTTTGTCCACATTTTTTCCAAACAGTACCCTGTACAAATCTCTAACCTCAAATAAAAGATGTTTGCGCCGGTCTCAAATGATATTCGGCATTAAACGGAACGCACCTATGGTCAAGGTCGCTCCACTGCAGCAAGCGACTGCGCAGCGCCATTTTGGTTAGTATTAGCGCGTCGTTTCTTGTGAGAGCACGTGTCAGGGCCGTTACAGCACACAGTCCTCTGGTAAGTATTAAAGTTTATAATATTCATAATTAACCATATATGTATTATGTATTGCTCCTATAATTCCTGTGTTGAGTGATCAGTTGTCGTGAAATTGAATCCCTAGCAGCTGTTTCGTTGATGTTGAATGATTTAATCGAAATACACAGTCCCCTGGCAACAGTCCCCTGGCCTCCAAGATGCCAGGGGACTGTAGCCCATTCCAGGGGACTGCTGATATCAGTTCTCTGTTGATATTTTGCAGTCAACGCTATTATATGTATCGCACTAAACATAAGAATTTTTTACAGATGGCTTCGAAAAGGAAAAAGTTATCCAGAGAAGAAATATTACAGAAAAAGAGGGAAGCTGAACGTTTGAGGTACCAACGAAAAAAGAATGACCCGCAAATGAGGGAAGAAATGCGAATAAAGGAGAAGTTGAAATATGAAAGAAAAAAGGAAAAAGGCTTGAGAAAATTAGCCAAAGACATGACTTCACGTGAACATAGGGCTGCCTTAAAAAAGTGGAGGGAGCATTGTGCTGCTTACCGGGCCAAACAAAAGGATGCGACAGTGGCTCTCAATACACCACGTGGAAACATGCTTTCATCTGATCAAGGGAGCCCTTGTTCATCTGCAGGATGCAACACTTCAGTTTCCATTGACTTTCCTAGTAACCAGATCCCTACGGTAACGGCTATCAATTCACATCGAAGAAGGCAAGCCAAAAAGCGGAGAGAAAAAGTGAATAAGGAAAAGGATGAGAAGATAGAAGCTCTAAAGAAAAAAGTAGATAAATATAGGAAAATAATAACAAGATTACAAAATAGAAGTAAGAAAAATAAAGCAGACACAACCAACACTAAAATGCAGAAGATGTTGAATGAACCTGGAGGTAGAAAAGAAGTGGTTAAGAAAGCGTTGTTTAGCGACGTTTTAAATGAACAACTCAAAGAAAATTATTCAAATTTAAAATGTATTAAAGATAAACAAATATTTACGAAAGTCTTGTCTGGAGTTCGATTACAAAAGTACAGGCGGTGTATACCCAGAGACTGTGGTGTTTTGTATAGAGGTGTTCAGAGTACAAAACGTTACAATACTTTGATTAGTTATCAAACATTCTGTCGGTTGCGTCCATTTTGGGTAGTAAGACCAAGTACACAAAATCGTGACACATGCTTGTGCGTAACTCACAGTAATTTGGACATGAAGTTGCGGGCTCTATATGATGCAAAGATAATTGCCTACAACAACTACCAGAAGTTACTGGAACAGCTATGTTGTGACCGGTATAATGAAAACTGCTTATCAAGAAGATGCCTTCTTTGCAAAAATAGACTTCCTAAATATAAAGAATTCAACGATAAGAGAATCATAAAATATAAGATGTGGGTCCAAGAAAAACAAGAAATCATAGATTTAAAGACGAAAAAGCCAAAGATAGTGACAAAACACCTGAAAATGGTGTACAATGGACATCCCCGTCAAATAATATCACAATTACATACAGATTTAGAAAAATTCTTTGTACATCAATACAGTGCTATAAATCATTTAAAACAAAATCTACAAGACGACGACGTCCTTATTCATATCGACTTCAGCGAAAATTATTACACAAAGTATGCCGAAGAGATACAAGCATTTCATTTCGGTGGATCTAGAGCGCAATTGAGCCTGCATACAGTAGTAGTTTATTTAAAAGGTACAATACATTCCTACTGCACGATATCAGATAACATGGCCCACTCACCTGCTGCTATTTGGGTACATCTAGGACCCATTTTTCAATCACTTCCATGTGGCATAAAGCATGTACATTTCTTGAGCGATGGCCCCGTTACGCAATACCGTAACAAAACAATGTTCTTTATGATGGCAACCAAACTACCGCAAGATATTCCAGGTATAGAACAATTCACCTGGAACTATACCGAGAGTGGGCTTGGGAAAGGTGCACCAGATGGAGTTGGTGCAACCTATAAAAGAACTGCCGATTTTGTTGTAAATGCTGGTGGCGATATAAATAATATCGAACAGTTTGTACAATGTATCCAAGAAAGATGCCCAAATATAACTTGCATCACAATCGACAGTCAAGATATTCAGGAAATGTCCAATAAACTTCAACAGGAGGCATTTAAGCAGAAGGGCTTCAAAGGCACGTTAAATGTGCAAGTGCAGGGGTCTTTTCTAGCTCCATTTCTGACCTCCCAGCAAACTGTATAACCTTAACAATGAGGAGGCTCAGCTGTTTTTGCAACACAGGCATCTGTGAGCATTTTAAGATAGGTAACATTACTTATGTCCTGAATCCAAGATTGAGAGTAGAAGATGTGTTTTCAGAATCGGATTCGGATAGTAATATAAATTTAAGCGAGTATAAGTCAAATATGCCTGTGAATGTCGTCAGTGATGAAGTCGCTGGAACTAGTGGTCGACAGCATTCATGTTATAGCACTGGAGACTACGTTCTTGTTAGATTTTTGGTAAAACATGTGGAGTATCGATATGCTGCCGTGGTTAATAAAGTCGACGAAGAGGAAAATGATTTGCGTGTTACATTTTTAAAGGTTTGTGATGACAAGGTTCAAACCTTTAAAATAGATGAAAGTGACATATCAGATGTATCATTTGACCATGTAGTTCAGAAGTTGGAGAGTCCTGATTTAATACTGAAAGGGAATCGAATATTTTACAAATTTGAGTCTTTGGTGAACGTGTATGAGAGATGATTATTTCTTTCAAGTTACGAAGTCATCTGGCCGATACTCAGAGAATAGTTTTTTTTAAGTTTTGTTTGTAAGTTCAGATTTATTTTGTAAACTACAACAATATTGCATATATATGTCGGTAGGGGCATTTTAAATGAATGACGGTGATCTTTTGTGATACTATTTTTATGACTACAAAACTACAAAATATCACATGGTGATGATGTTGAGTTTTTATATTTTCTGGATGTTCCATGCCTGGCTTTCTAATGAACCATCAAACGTATAAAAATGTTAGTTTTTCTATAAAAATTTGTAAGTGAAGTTTTATTTTGTTACTGTACTATCATAATAGTGTTAGTGAAGGTTGTTGAGTTTTTTTTTGTGAAACTAGTTTCTTGATCTCATTTGTAGTACAAAATATGGAATGTTATGTGCCTCTTGATGAAACTGAATATTTTTGTATGACGTTATATGTTTTTGTATTCATTTTTACTGTACTACTATTAAGTGGTCATAGAGGTACCACTGATGATGCAAAATAAAGAATATTAAGCACATGCCTACGATTTTTATGAATTTTAAACAGTCCCCTACCTCACTAGGCAGTCCCCTGCCCTGCTTGAAACAGTCCTCTGTTACATATAACAGTCCCCTGCTAAGAACTTTTAGAAAACAGCTAATATCGGAGAAAATAGCTATTTCTTCAATGGGCATTTTCGTGTTTGAGATGTATGTGTCGATTTCGTAGGCCTTAGATGGTGTTTCTTTGATATATATTGCTATAAAATCTCTGGACAGATTTGTATGGTGCGTTGACGAGTTTACAGAGAATCACCCATATATATATAGAGAGAGAGAGAGAGAGAGAGAGAATATGATCACGCGGAGAAAGGTATATAGCAACAAGTAGGAAAATAATGGGCAAAATCCGCAAAAAGGAGGAAAGTGGATTCGAGCAGAAAATAGGATAGGTAACCCGAGCGATACGTATTTCTGCTGGTTGGCTTCATATATACAGGGTGACTTCGAAGTTGAGTCATTTATTTTAACAGTGTGTAGATCTGATCAAAAGAAATGTTTTTTTCCTTTACCATTTTTCTGGTAAAATTAAAGTAACAAAGTTATAGCCCTTTGGAAGTTTGAGTACCGCCCTGTCTCAATAATATCATGTGTTCGTGTTTGGCAACAACGGTTCATCGCATCGGAAACAAAAAAGCGAAAGAATTTGGAACGATGTTTTTACGATTACAATTCAGTTCAGTTATACATACAGTCAGTTTCAGTCGCGTGTGAATAGTGTCTGTTGCGTGGCTCAAACGAAATAAAAAATGGCACATGTTTATGCGGATCGGTTTCCCAATCGAGTGCAACCAACCCCTCGTGCCTTTGTTAATGTAGTACAACGGGCTCGTGAATCAGATGACTTAAGACCTCACAGGGGACCTCACGATCAAATACAGGTCCGCACTGAAATACTTGTCGGGAGGATACTTTATAAAACAAGGTAAAATTTTTTTTTTATTTTTTTTTTATTTTTACACACATATTTTGGTTTATCTTCCTTCTACAATCATTATCTGAAAATTAATGACTCAACTTCAAAGTCACCCTGTATATATAAATTGAGACCGAACAGAAGCACCTACTTAAAACAAAAGCTGGATATGCGATGCTAGATAAAAAATGCTAAACACGGTAAACGTGATGCTTGAAAAATTGTAGGTTCAAAAGTAGAGGATCGAGTAGTTGTTGAAATTAGGTAAAAAGTGTCTAAATTCTAACGGCCTAACCAACTGACCACCGCATGTTTGTCGTGACATAACCGCATGGTTAAATAATCATTTTAGACAACGATGGATTGGCAGAAATGAACCCGTACATTGGCCTGCGAGGTCTCCTGATTTGAAACCCCTGATTTTCCTTTTGTGGGGCGCTTTAAAACAACTAGTGTATGCTGAACAAATTAATACTGATCAGTTACAAGAAAGAATAGATAATGCTTTTCATCAAATTCAAGCCACAACAAATTTTGCGTAAATACGTTTTTCTATATTAAAAAGATGCAGCACTTGTATCCGTCTGAACATTTGTTGAAATAAAGCTTTGATTATCTAATTTGTTTTATTTTTACGAAAACAGTGCATTCTAGGAAAAAACACAGGAGTAATTGTTTGTAGCAAAATGAAAGTGAAATTCGAAAAACTGCGCGTTTCGAAAAAAAAATGCCACTAATCCCCTGTATCTCCGCCACTGGTGCACGTTGATTTTTAGTAAAGACTTTTGAATGTGGACAAAACTTGGGTAAATCCTCATACCAAACTTTAGTTCATTTCAGTTGATGGTTTTGAACATATTTAAAAAAATTGTTTTTTATTTTAAACTTCCACACCCCGTAACTGGTATGGTGTTTCATCTTTGGTCACGACTTGTGAATCACCCTTGTATATAAGCCAAAGGCATCATGTGTAATATTATCTATATAAAATAAAGGTTTTAAATTGATACAAATTACCTTTTTGGAAAAACTTGGTGAAAAAAATTGAAAAGGTAAATTTGTGTTGTCTTATATTATATTATAATATTAATATCAAGCGCAATTATAGTTTTACTGAAAACATAAACATCCAGACATGAAGCGTTCAAATACGCACCTCTTAATGTATCTGGATTCTGCTAACCATAATTGAAGAACTAATTTATTATCTCATCTATTCTCTGAAAATGTACTATAATAGACGCAAACATAGTGAATATTTAAAAACAATAGAACTCAATAAAACTGACATAAATAGAGTAATGCCGACCAAAATATAGTAACAAATTGTTACGTATTGATAGACCTAGAGTGGTTGTCTCCAATTTTCTGAGTTCAATAACTAATTATGCACGATGATTTATTTCAATGAAATAGATAATGCGCTTCAAAACATGGGAATACTAGCCTAGATTTCAAATTGTTTCCCCCATGAATTTAATATACGTAGAGTTTGAACTTGCAGCGTGCTTTAACCATAATTTTAAGTTTAAACATATAAAGTCTCATTTTGAAGGTGTTTTTTAACTCGCACAACTCATCTGTTTTTACTTACCTCATCAATTGGCGTAGAGGTATTGTCATCGCGAAAAATTTCGAAAATATAAATAATTTATGTTTTTTGGATGTGTACATCACGAAAAACCATATGACTCATTTCCGTCTATATGTCTGACCTAATCCTTAACCCTTCTATAACCGGCTCGGATTTTGGTGAAATTGTGTCATACATGTTCGTAGTTGACACTTTTTTAATAAAACATATAACATAATCTTCTGTGGATTGACGACAGCGTGCAGTCAACCTTCTTGACGACGACGAATATACGCCAAAAGATGTTTTCCAAATTTGACGTTTGATAAATAATAGTTTAAACAAAACTAAAAAAAAACACACGCTTTTATAGCTAAGTATAAGTTATAAGTAAAAAGTAGAAAATCATTTTTAACAACAAAGAGTTATATTACAGTAGTAGATGGTCGAACAGTCAATCATAATTAATGACCTCAAAATAAAGTTATAATAAACTTTAAGCTATTAACAGAATAATTCAATTCAGAGTAAAAAGCGTGGGGTGCTTGTTATATTATATATTTATCCTTTAATTTCTTTGGGGGGTTGAGGTTTATCAGTCCAGTTTTTTATTCGTCGACTATGTGTTCCCTTCACTGTTATTTAAAAGCAATTTCAGCAACAATCTCGCCGACTTAGTAAGTAAACATTTTTCTCCTAATTGTTATTTGTTGCTATTGTCAATAATTGTTTCCAGCTCCAGACGATGAAGACATAGATCTTCGAAAGCTTGAGAGTTTAAGTTATAAGAGTGTACTTCCAATACTTTGCCTTCTACCCAAAGAAATTAAAAGATATTTTCTTCTAACAGTTAAGGCAATTAACTATGAATACTATTATATATATATAATATTATTGTTATATTATCATTCTATTGGCAACTATCTATGAGAGGAGAGTTATGAAAATGTAGTAAAATGTTCGCCACGCTTTTTATTTACTACCGTAATATGAACTGTTTGTAATTAAAAATTATTGTCTACTTTGTTTCTATAAGTGAAGAGTTTTTTTAATTATCTAGGCCACGACTATATCGTCGCGATCTAACCTAAAAGCTTCGGTGCCGTCGGGTTTCTAAAGTGTCTAAGCCTGCACTGCCGTAGTTGAATGAATAGAGAGGGAATGAATATTGCAAAGTTACATGACTTTATAGAGTTATTTAAATGTGATTTTAGATCATAATTGTTCTTGAGACCTAAAATAAATGACACTCCGTCTTAAATTGCTGTAAATCAACAAGCAGTAACTTGTGATTTACAGCTTTTATACTCTGCAAAAACAAATTTACTGCTTTTTCGTAGTTTTTATAATATATTTATATCATTTGACCAAAGGACATTTTATTTTATTTTCATATAATATATTAGCATAACAGTAAACCTTTCCAACGTCTGTATTTAATTTA